CTCAAGGCCAAATAAAGAGTGTGTTGGCTGGGCACGGTGGCTCACACCTGTAATCCCAGCACTTTGGGAGGCCAAGGCAGGCGGATCACCTGAGGTCAGGAGTTTGAGATCATCCTGGCCAACATGGTGAAACTCCATCTCTACTAAAAATACAAACAATTAGCCAGATGTGGTGGTGGGTGCCTGTAATCCCAGCTACTCGGGAAGCTGAGGCAGAAGAATCACTTGAACACAGGAGGCAGAGGTTGCAGTGAGCTGAGATCGTGTCACTGCACTCCAGCCTGGGCAACACAGTAACACAGTGAAACCTATCTCGGGGAAAAAAAAAAAAAAGAGCGTTTCATGGAGGGAATGGTCCAGAGTCAACTCAGCATTTATTCATTCAGCAACTCTGAGCACCTGCTACCCAGCAGGCACTGTGCTGGGGCACAGGGATAGAATGGGAAGACAGAAACCTAACTTGGACCCTACTCTCTTGGAATTTACAGTCCAGATGGGAGGACAACCAAACAAATCTCACTCAAAAAAAATTTGTAATTGCAAAGATAGTTTGCATATATTAAAGAAATGCAATATTCCCTGAGGAAGTGGCATTTGAGGTAGACCAGGACAGAAGGGGACTAGATACAACACCAAAACAAACAATAAAGTTATAAAATAGATAAATTGGACTTCATCAAAATTAAAAACTTTTGTGCTTCAAAGGACACCATCAGGAAAGTGAAAACAGGGCTGGGCTCACTGGTTCAAGCCTATAATCCCAATAATTTGGGAGGCTGAGGTGGGAGGATTGCTTGAAGCGAGGAGTTCACGACCAGGCTGGATAACATAGTGAGACTCCATCTCTTAAAAAAAAGAAAAAAGAAAAAAAATTAGCCAGGCCTGGTGGCACACCCCTGTAGTCCTAGCTACTCAGGAGGCTGAGGTAGGAGGATTTCTGAGCCCAGGAGTTTGCAACCTCAGTGAGCTCAGTGAGCCGTAATAGTACTACTGCACTCCACCCTGGGTGACAGAGGAAGACCCTGTCTCTAAAACAAAAAAAGAAAGTGAAAAGATACCTGAGCATAGGAGAAAATGTTTGCAAAACATATATGCAATAAGGGGCTTCTATCTAGACTACATCAAGAACTCCTAAAAATCAGTAATAAAAAAGACAACCCAATTTTTTTAAAGAAGCAAAGGATTTGAATAGACATTTATCAGAAGATATACAAATGGTTAATAAGCACATGAAAGCATGCTCAACATCATTTGCATAGGGAAGTCCCAATCAAAATCAAATGAGATACCACTTCACACCCAGTAGAATGGTTATAATTACAAAAATGGAAAACAACAAGTGTCAGAGAGTGTATCAGCTTGCTAAAGCTGCCATAACAAAGTACCACAGACTGAGTGACTTCAACAACATAAATTTGTTGTCTCATGTTCTGGAGGCAAGAAGTCCAAGATCAAGTTATCAACAGGGCCATGCTCCCTCTGAAGGCCCCAAGGAAGGATCTGTTCCAGGTTTCTCTCCTAGCTTCTGGTAGGTCCTTGGCTATGGCAGTATAATTCCAGTCTTCATGTGCCGTTCTCCCTGGGTGCGTGTCTGTGTCCACATTTCCCATTTTTATAAAAGACGCCAGTAATGTTGGATAAGGGGCCCAACCTACTCCAATATGACCTCATCTTAGCCTCACTAATTACATCTATAATGACTGTGTTTCCAAATAAGTTCACATTATGAGGTACAGGGGATTAGGATTTCAACACATGAATTTTGAGGAGCCACAATGCAACCTATAATAGCAAGGATGTAGAGAAACTGGAATTCTCATATACTGTTGGGAAGGTAAAATGGTACGGCCACTTTGTAAAAATCTCGCAGTTTCTCAAAAAGTTGAACATAAAGCTATCATATGATCCAGCAATTCCAATCCTAGGTTTATGCCCAAGAAAATGAAGATGTATGTTCATTCAAAAAATTGTACATAAATGTTCAGAACAGCATTATTAATAATAGCCAAAGGGTGGAAATAACCCAAATGTCCTTCCACAAATGAACAGATAAACAAAATGTGGTCTATCACACCATGGAATATTACCTGGCAATAAAATTGAAGTACTGATACATGCTACGGCATGGCAGCATGGAAGAAGCGTGAAAACATTATGCCAAGTGAAAGAAGCTAGTCACGAAAGACCACATGATTCTATTTATATGAAATGTACAAAACTGGCAAATCCAAAGAGATAGAAAGTAGACTGGCTGTCTAGGCTGGGGGAGTTGGGGGCAGTGACTACTAATGGGTTTAAGGTTTCTTTCTGGGGTGATGAAAAAAAATTCAAAATTGATTGTGGTGATGGTAGGATCAATATTCACAACTCTGAATATTCTTTTGTTTTGGGTTTTTTTTTTGAGACCAAGTCTTGCTTTGTCACCCAGGCTGGAGTGCAGTGGTGCGATCTCGGCTCACTGCAACCTTCGACTCCTGGGTTCAAGCAATTCTCCTGCCTTAGCCTCCAAAAGTAGCTGGGATTATAGGTGCCCGCCACCACACCTGGCTAATTTTTTTGTTTTTGTAGTAGAGACGGGGATTCACCATGTTGGCCAGGCTGGTTTCAAACTCCTGACCTCAAGTGATCCACCCACCTCGGCCCCCCAAAGAGCTAGAATTACAGATGTGAGCCACCATGCCTGGTCTACAACTCTGAATATCCTAAATTGAACTGCACATTTTAAATGGGTGAATTTTATGAGTTTTAAGGTGTGTGCATTATATCTCAATAAAGCTGTTATTCTAAAATAAATAAATCCTAAACTCCCTCCTACGAAAAAGCAAACAAAAAAAACCCACAAAAACAAAACAAAACAAAAAGGTCAAGAACATTCCAACCAAAAAGCAACCACGAGAAAGTGAACTCTAGAATGGCAGGAATTTTTGCCTGCTTTGTTCACCATCGTATCCCCAGCACCAAACAATGTCTGGAAATAGTAGGTATAAATAAAAGGACCATGTGCAAAAGTCTCGTTGCAGGGAGGTGGATGGCCCGTGGGAGAAAGGAAAGATCAATATGAGTGACTGGGACTACACTGGAGATGACTGGGCTCAACTGAGTCTTTATCCTAAAAGCAATGAGGAGCAATGATGAACTTTTAAGTGGAGGTGGATCAGATTTACATTTGAAAAAACCACTGGGAGGCCAGGTACGGTGGCTTACTTGTAATACCAGTACTTTGGGAGGCTAAGGTGGGAGGATCACTTGAGCTCAGGAGTTCAAGACCAGCCAGGGCAACATAGTGAAACCCCCATCTCTACAAAAAATACAAAAAATTAGCCGGGCATGGTGGCACGAGCCTGCAGTTCCAGCTACTAGGAAGGCAGAAGTGGAAGGATCGCTTGAGCCTGGGAGGCAGAGGTTGCAGTGAACTGAGATCGTGCCACTGCACTCCAGCCTGGGTGCAGAACACAGGCAGCAGGGAGACTTGATTAAAGATAAAGACTGAAAAGTTGGATTTAAAAAAAAAAAAAGTTGTTAGTGACCTTGGAAAAATCAGTCCAGGTGGAGAGATGGGGTGACTAATTTGGGGAATTGGAAAGGAAGTGGGACTGGCAAAATTATACTACACTTGATAAGGCCTCTCCCTATTCCCTATAAGTCTCCAGGGAAACAGACCAAAAATACATTTGGCTTGAGAAATAACAAAGACATGTTCCCATGCATATTCACACACAGCCGGTTCACCAGCGGATTCTGTTTCTGTTCAAGGATTCCATACTTCCCACCCTGACACAGAGAGAGGTCCCATGGCTGAAGTTCATCAGTGGTTGTCTCCTACCAGATGCTAGCCTTCTTTCATTGCTGGGGGAGAGGTGGGTGGGAGAACACAGAGTAGGCTGCCATCATCTGAGATTTGAGAGGCACTTCAGAAACATAATTCGTTCCCTTTTAGCTTCAGTGGGCTAGGTACAATCCAGAACCCAAAGGCAGGCCAAGCAGACACACTTCAACTCCACTCCCTGAAGATGGCGAAATGTTTTAGATTAGGACACTTCTCTGGTGTGACCAGACGTCTGAACTGGACCAAAAGATCTGGGTTCTAGTTTTAGTTCTGCTGGTCTCAGCAGCAAAGCCTTGGGTAAGAGACTTGACCTCTCTGGGCTTCCATCTCCTCATCTCAAAAATTAGGACAATAAACACATGCCCTGCCCTGAGCAGAGTGGTTACGAGGGGATAACAACCATGCAATGGCAGATGTAGATTTGGGGGCCTGAGCTTATATAATCTCATGGTATTCGTTAAGAAAAAGAATAGAAAATTTAAAATACAAAAGTAGGTACAAATATAAATATTTAAAACGAGAAATTACATCACTCTACAAAATTGAAAAAGCTCATACCAAAAACATCACACACAAAAAATTGAAAATAACACTATTTGTTAAATTAACTGCCTGGCATATCACTAAGCACTTTCTCACCACATTTTTTGGCTGTGTATTCTTTCATGGCCTCTTTAACAACATTTTTGTCATTCTATGAAGAGAAAAGGAAGATAATTGAGTCATTCCTCTCCCTAATGGTGGATCAAAATTTGCTATCGCTGCTAGCTTAGAAAAGATCCAGTTTTCCAACTCCTTATTTTAGGATGGTTGTCAAACTTGGGAAACTACCAAGCCTTTTGTTATGAGCCATAAGCGATCAAGGAACTTCACATTACCTTATACTGTGACCAATATATCTCCCCATTTTTTTGATGCTGGACATCTATGACCAAGACTTCTGAAACACTCAGGTCACTGTGCTTGCAATTCAGCACAGTAGGGACTTAGGGGTATTCCTGGAAGCCTAGCAAAAACGTAAGTATACACAGGAGCCACATAAACTCAAACTCAGTGTATTCCCTACTCCAAAATGCCTAAAACTGCCCACAGCCACTCCAATGCCTTCAGATAGGCAGTCACAGTGGAAAAAGACAGTGGTCTCTTTAAACCTGTTAAGTTAAAATCATTAAATCTGTTAAGAACAGATTTGGTTTAAAATATCTTAGTTTTGCTACTTACATATATTTTTTAAACCATGATCGTGTGAACACGTTGTTAAGACCTCCCTCTTGCATGGCCATGGAAGGGGCCTGGGTAAGTTTGAGGGCCCAGAAGCAGCAGCCCCGCTAAGCGTCGGGGTTATTTACCGTAAAGGCCCTTTAAAAGGCGGAGCCAAAGGGAGGTTGCCGGGAGGCTCGGGCTAAGCTGAGTTTCTCGGGTCGAGGAGCACAGTGGAGGCGGAGGGGCCTTGCCAGTCTGGCTCACGGCGTGTGGCCGGCCCAGGGTAGCTTCCCAAAGATGAAGCTGTGGCCTCTCCCAGCCAAACCCCACTCAGAGGGGACCGCTGACCCATCCCCGACCTCCTGCGACCCCTGCTCCGTTCCCAGAAAGGACAGCGACCTCCAACCCGCCCTCGCCCTCCGCAGGTCTCAGTCTCAGGTTTCAAAAGGAGCGCGCCGCATTAGGCCCGCCCCTCACTTCCGGCTTGTAAATGCGTGGGTCCCACAGATCTCGCGATAGCGCGTCTTCTCATCGCTGGCGCTGACCCTGAGCAGCCTCGCCCGCGGTTTGGTTCAGGTCGGCTGAGGTCGGCTGCTCTGTTGGCACTTGGGATCTGGGCTTTTCCCCAGGCCCGTTATGTGGCAGCATCGGCTGGACTCTTAAGGCCCACCGGCTCCTTTAAGTCCACCCGTCCCTAAAGGTTCCTATCGAGAGGCTAGGCGCCGGGAACCGCCTTCAACCCTGTGCTCAGGGTCGTGCTGTGCTGCGCACGAGTGATAAAGACTCAAACGTCCTAATGACCGTTCTGGGCTCTCACTGGGTGCCGGACACCTGGCTCCACACACGTCTTCTCAATGGATACCCACAATAACCCCGAGAGAAAGGCGTGGTTTTTTACCTCTTTATACAAATGGGGAAAGTGAGGCTCAAAAGAGTGAAGGAACCTGCCGAGGATCACAGAAAAGGATGCGGCCAAAACTCGAAGTCAGTCTGGCTGCAGCTCTAAGGCCTCATTACTATCGTAGAGCAGTTTGTCAACAGGTCCTTCGGTCCCTAGATTTCTAGAGGACGCTGGAGCTCATTGTGAAGTGCCAGGGCTTTGGGTCCACGCAGATACAGGTGCATAGGAAAATCCAGGCACCTTCTTTGTTCTGTGACCTTAAACGACTTGCTTAACCTTTCTGGGGCTCATTTTTCTTCAGCTGATGGGGTTAATAATAATACTTCACAGGATTATCGTGAGGGTTCAGTGCCTACTCCATAGTAAGCTCTCAATAAATGGAAATTGCTGCTATTGATAATCTTTTATCCTCTCACGTGTTGTACAGTGTTCAAGCAGCAGGAGGTGCTTAATAAACCAGAGTGAATGGTGAATGAATGGAGGAAGAAATGTAGAGTCTGGCCAGACACCATGTGGTCCTTGCCTCCAGTTCCCTAATCTTATTTATTTTTGAGACGGAGTTTTCGTTTTTGTTGCCCAGGCTGGAGTGCAGTGGCGTGATCTCGGCTTACTGCAATCTTTGCCTGTCGGGTTCAGGCGATTCTCCTGCCCCAGTCTCCCGGGTAGCTGGGATTACAGGCACTCACCACCATGCCCAGCTAATATTTTTGTGTTTTTTTAGTAGAGGTGGGGTTTCACCATGTTGGCCAGGCTGGTCTCTAACTCCTGACCTCAGGTGATCCGCCCGCCTCGGCCTCCCAAAAAGTGCTGGGATTACAGGCATTAGCCACTGCACGTAGCCAGCCCCCTAATCTCTTACCCACTTCACTATGTGGTGCCACTTCAAAGGGCTTGAACTGGGGAATGACTGTTCCTCTTCTTCCCAAAACAGCTGTGTGTGTGTGCATGTGCGTGTATTTTAACTTGCTTTTGTTTTTGTTTTTGAGGCAGAATCTCGCTCTGTCGCCCAGGCTGGAGTGCAGTGGCGCAATCTCGGCTCACTGCAAGCTCTGCCTCCTGGGTTTACGCCATTCTCCTGCCTGAGCCTCCCAAGTAGCTGGGACTACAGGCACCCACCACCACACCCGGTTAATTTTTTGTATTTTTAGTAGAGATGGGGTTTCATCGTGTTGGCCAGGATGGTCTCGATCTCCTGACCTCGTGATCCATCTGCCTCGGCCTCCCAAAGAGCTGGGATTACAGGCGTGAGCCACTGCACCCGGCCTTGACTTGTTATTGAAGTAACGTACAGAAAAAGACACAAATCCTACGTGCACTTAACTTTTAACACAATGAACAAAGTAGTGTAATCAGGTCCCTGAGGAAGAAACAAATCATTATCAGCTCCCTAAACCCTTCTCCTGTTTCCCTCTATTCACTGCATCCCCTGCAGGGATAACCACTATCATGCCTTTCTAATGTTATGTTATGTTATGTTATGTTATGTTATGTTATGTTATGTTATTTTTTTGGAGATGGGGTCTTGCTTTGTCACCCAAGCTGAAGTGCAGTGGCATGATCATAGCTCACTGTAGCTTCAACCTCCTGGGCTGGAATTACAGGCCACTGCACCGGGCCACTATCCTGCCTTCCAACTGCATAAGTTAACTTTGCCTGTTTTTACAGATACCACTGGGATCATACAGTGTGCGCTTTTCTGGAACTTCCCAGATCTCCATGTGCCCTCACCTTCAGTGACAGTCTGAGAAGAAGCCAGGTGGGGTTGCTCCCTACATGGTCGGGGCTGCTGCCAAATGCCGCTCATCTCACCGTCACCTGCTGCCTCTCTGCCTGCCCCGTGGCCCATGGTTCTCTGACATCTCTCTCTCACTGAGGTGGGAAAGCATATTCTGTTTCTCATTCTCAGCTCTTTCATAAGGAGTTCCCACAGCAGAGATGTCTGTGTCCTGGTGAGCCTGTTCTTGCCATATACCCCAAATCTTTCCCTTTCCACCAGGAAGGCCTGAGGCCTTAGGGAGTGAGGGTGGAGGTACACTGAGCCCCAATGGTCATGCCCAGCCTCACAGCATTCCAAATAGCACTCCTCCCTCTGCCCTGTTTGGCGGACCCCTTCCCCGTCCAGTGAAACTTTTTTCTCACTCAGGGTGATGAGCTCTCAGGCCTCTGCTATTCCTCCCCTGCAGTCTGCCATCCACTACAGTCCCCCAGCCCACCAGATACCGGGGAACCCCAACTGTGGCCATGGTTTACTTCCTTTTCCAAGGATTTCTGATGCCATGCTGGTTAAGGGACATGGCTTAAGGGTCTAGGTGTGTTACACATGAGGAGAGTAAGGCTCAGAGAAATTTAAGGAATTTTCTTAAGTGATGAGAATTAGACCTCAGAAGTGCCATTTGATGCAAGGCTAGAAGGCTAAGTGTCTGCTAAGGACCACCATTCGGTAAGACTAAAATGGGTGAGATGTCTAGGTACTTTACATGTATTACATCTAGTCCTCAAAACAACTTAAGCAGATCGGTGTTTTTATTTCAATATAGCAGATACAGAGACTGAGGTCCAGAGAACTTAATGACTTTGCTTTAGGTCACAGGGATAGTGAGAGACTAAACTAGGATTCAACCCCTCCCGCCGCACAGGCTGACCTCAAAGCCTGGCTCTTTCCTCTGCACTGTGCCACGCTCCCTGGAAGGATTTTGACAAGAGCAGATGTGAGTGGACATGGAGCTAAGACAGGACAGTTAGGGTACATTCCAGAGAGAGAGAGACACATGGACCACAGAGGGGCTGTTTCCATTTCCTATTACTGAGTAACAAACCACTCCAAAATTCAGTGGCTTAAAATAACCATTTACATCCCACAGTCCTGTGGGTTGACTGCAATCAACTGGGCAGTTCTCACGTGGGGTCTCTCAAGCAGTTCAGTCAGATGGTGGCTAAGACTCGAGTCATCTGAATGAAGGCTCAACTTGGCTGGATATCTAAGATGACTTTTTTTTTTTTTTTTTTTTGAGACAGAGTCTGGCTCTGTCGCCCGGGCTGGAGTGCAGTGGCCGGATCTCAGCTCACTGCAAGCTCCGCCCCCCGGGTTTACTCCATTCTCCTGCCTCAGCCTCCCGAGTAGCTGGGACTACAGGCATGTGCCACCATGTCCGGCTAATTTTTTGTATTTTGGATAGAGATGGGGTTTCACCGTGTTGGCCGGGATGGTCTTGAACTCCTGGCCTCAAGTTATCTGCCTGCCTCGGCCTCCCAAAGCACTGAGATTATAGGCGTGAACCACTGAGCCCAGCCCCAAAATGACTTTTTAAAGTCACATGTCTAGCACCTCATCTGGAACTGGTAAGGCCTGCCCAGGCATTACTCTCTCTCCATACAGCCTACCCTTGTGGCTTGTTTTGGGTTCCTCATAGCATGGTGGTCTCAGGGTAGACAGACCTCATACACGGTGGCTGACTTGCCCCAGAGTGAACATTCCGAGAGACTGAGGCAAAAACTGCAAAGTTTCCTCTTCCCTCTCTTCGGCAGTCATGCAGCTTCGCTTCCACAGCATGCTCAGTGAAAAGGAAGCATGGACTGACCCTTTCAAGGGGAGGGGACAATACACAAGTGTGAAGCATGATTCACGGGGGACCATCTCTGGGGCCCAGCTATTACAGGGGCCGAGGCAGGAAGGGACAGATCAGGGAACTGCACAGTCATGCTTCAGTGGAACATGGTGCGCAAGTGAGAAAAAACTGGAGATGGCCGTTTATGGCAGATGGTGGAGGGCTTCAGTGCTGAGGAACCTGCATATGGATACACACTGGAGTCTTTAGCTGCCCAGCATCTGAGCCCCCTTCATATGCTGGTGGAGTCTCTCTAATATGAGTCTTAGTGAGAAGTCAGATACTTGCTCCCCTGACCCCTGGCAGGAAGATCACAGCCAAATCAATGCTCCCAATCAGGACTCTAAATCTTCAGTAAGTGACCCAAGGAGGAACAGGACTGTTTATAATTCACCCCAGAGGCAGCAGCAGCCAGGGCTCAATGTGGTGGTAGCCATGTGGGAAGCAGCCCCCAAGCCCAGGGGCTGTAGCCCCTTAATCAGGCTGCACTTGGGACAGGATTTAGCTAAAGTTCTAGCTGCCTAGCTTCTCTTGGCTCCTGCTTGCTTCCTGAGCCTGGTCTTGAGGCTTCCCGTCAATTCTGTGAGTTCCCTGATGTCATCCCAGTAAATTCCTCTTCTACTAAGTGAACCAGGGTCTGTTTCTGTTGTTTGCAATTAAGAACCCAAATTGGTACAAAGATCCATTGAGAGCTTTAGTCAGAGGAAATGACATGATCAGAGCACTTTGTGGGAGAGAAAAACAGAACAATAAGATAGGGATGGATTGAAGAGGAAGAAAGAGGAATGAGAGAGGCTAGTAGGAAGGCCGTTGTGATGTTTGAGGTGTGTGGTGAACTAGGATATTGACCGTGTGAATGAAGTAGAAGAATAAGCAGATCTTGGTCACTGATTGAATATAGAAAAGAGCAGAGAAGGTGAGAGTCCAAGTTTACAGCACTTTTGAGGCTCAGTGACTAAGAAAGTGATGACGTGACAAAGAGGAACAAGCAAGTTAAGGAGAACTGGTTTGGAGGGGAAAGTCATTCATTCATTTATTCAACAAATATTCAATGCCTGGTCTATGCCAAGCACTGTGCTAGGCATTGAGAAAAGAGCAGTAAACAAAACAAAGTCTCAGCCCTTAGCAAATACATGCATAAGATAATGAATCTGCATTAATAAAGCTTGAGCTGGGCGTGGTGGCTCACGCCTGTAATCCCAGCACTTTGAGAGGCTGAAGTGGGCGGATCACTTGGGGTCAGAAATTCGAGACCAGCCTGGCCAACATGGTGAAACCCCATCTCTACTAAAAATACAAAAAAATGAGCTGGGCATGGTGGCAGGTGCCTGTGATCCCAGCCACTCAGGAGGCTGAGGCAGGAGAATAGCTTGAACCCGGGAGGCAGAGGAGTCAGAGGTTGCAGTGAGCCAAGATGGCGCCATTGCACTCCAGCCTGGGCAACAGAGCAAGACTCTGTCTCAAAAATAAAATAAAATAAAATAAAACTTGAGTTGGTGGTATCACACACATACAGCAAAACATGTATAGCTGGCAGCTGGAACTTCAAGAAAGATCATAGGAGGCCGAGTGTAGTGGCTCACGCCTGTAATCCCAGCACTTTGGGAAGCCAAGATGGGTGGATCGCCTGAGTTCAGGAATTCAAGACCAGGCTGGTCAACATGGTGAAACCCTGTCTCTACTAAAATACAAAAATTAGCCCGGCATGGTGGTGCACACCTGTAATACCAGCTACTCAGGAGGCCGAGACAAGAGAATCACTTGAACCCAGGAGGCAGAGGTTGCAGTAAGCTGAAATCACACCACTGCACTCCAGCTTGGGTGACAGAGCAAGACTCTGTCTCAAAAGAAAAAACAAGAAAGATCACAGGAAGGAATATTGGGCCTGAAGACAGAAGTTAGTAGTCATTTCCATAGACATTTATTTATTTATTCATTTATTCACTTATATTTATTGAGTTCCTACTATGTACTCAATACCATTCTTGGCATTAGAAATACAGCAAAAAACAAGAGAGTCTCAGCTCTCATAGAGTTTCCATTGTAGAGCATGGAGACAGAGAGTAAACAAATACACAAATATGGTCAAATATGTGATTTATACTATGAAGAAAAATAAAGCAAGGTAAAGGTAAGAGGAAGTTTGCTATGTTATACAGGATGTTCTGCCAAGGCTCCTCTTTTCTATGTTTATTTTTTGTGGGTTTTTTTTTTTTTCTTTTTTGAGACAGGGTCTTGCCCTGTCAATCAGACTGGAGTACAGTGGCTTGATCATAGCTCACTGTAGAGTTGAACTCCTGGGATCAAGTGATCCTCCTGCCTCAGCCTCTCAAAGCACTGGGTTTCCAGGCATGATGTACCATGCAAGGCCCCTCTCATAAGGAGATGTTTCAGTGAGGTCCCAAATGAAGGAAAACAGCATTCATGTGGTTATCTGGAGGAAACCTATTTCAGGCAGAGGGAGGAGGTGCAAAGGCCCTGAGGCAAGACAGTGTTTGGATTGTTCAAAGAATTTGCAGGTGGCCAGTGTGGCTGAAGTAAAGTAGATGAGAGAGAGTTGGAGGAGAAAATGAGGTGAAAGAGGTGGCAGGGAGCCAATCCTATTGAGCCTTGTAAGTCATGGTGACCTGTAAGTCTCAGCTCACTGCAACCTCCCCCTCCTGGGTTCAAGAGATTCTCCTGCCTCAGCCTCCCGAGTAGCTGGGACTACAGGTGCACATCACCACACCCAGCTAATTGTACTAAGTACTTTGGCTCTTGTGCTGCGTAAGATAGGAAGACTTTAGAGACCTTTGAGCAGAGGAGGCACATTGCATGACTGACACTTTAGAAGGATCACTTGGGCTGCTGGGTATGGAATAGACTGGGGTTGTGTAATGGCAGAATCAAGGGGAGCAACTAGGAGACAGCTGTAGTCAATTAAGCCAAGAGATGATGATGGCTTGGACCAGGAAGGTAATGATGGAGGAAGTGACATGTGATCAGACTTTAGATAGAAATTGATGGGGAACTAACATGATCTGCCAATGGGTTTGATGACTCTAGGATATTTTTTAATGGGAATAACTGGAAGAGCATTTGCCATTTACTGAATAGAGAGGATTGAGAAGTACATCTAAAGCTCCAAGAATGGCCAGGCACAGTGGCTCATGCCTGTAATCCTAGCACATTGGAAGGCTGAGGTGGGTGGATCACTAGAGCTCAGGAGTTCAAGACCAGCCTGGGCAACGTAGCGAAACACCTAGCTCTACAAAAAATACAAAAATTAGCCAAGGGTGGTAGTGCGCACCTGTAGTCTCACCTACTTGGGGGGCTAAGGCAGGAGAATTTCTTGAACCTAGGAAGTCAAGGCTGCAATGAGCTGTATTTGCAACACTGCACTCCAGGCTGGGCAAAAAGTGAGACCCTGTCTTAAATAAATAGAGGCCGGGCACGGTGGCTCACGCCTGTAATCCCAGCACTTTGGGAGGCTGAGGTTGGTGGATCACGAGGTCAGGAGATCGAGACCATTCTGGCTAACATGGTGAAACCCTGTCTCTACTAAAAATACAAAAAAGTTAGCCAGGCGTGGTGGTGGGCGGCTATAGTCCCAACTACTTGGGAGGCTGAGGCAGGAGAATGGCATGAAGCTGTGCTAGGAGGCAGAGCTTGCAGTGAGCGGACATTGCGCCGCTGCACTCCAGCCTGGGGGACAGAGCAAGATTCCGTCTCAAAAATAAAATAAAATAAAATAAAATTTAATTAAATTTAATTTAATTTAAAAAGCCCCAAGAATAGTGAAACCATTTTCAGCCTTCCTGCCTGCCTGCTGGTCTTTCTTTTTGGATAATTTCACTTAAAAGCCATAATGTAGAGCCAAGCAAGACAAGGCACCCATGTAGGGGCAGAGGGGACATTGGGCTGGCATAGGTTGTGAAAGCCCAAGATGGAAGAAGACAGTGTCTGCAAGGGGAGTGGAGGGAGCAGTAGCAGTGATGATGAACCAGTTACTTACACAGGATTAATCTGATAAGAAAAAGAGAAGTTACAAAAATGGAAAAGGAGAAAACAAAAATAAGTCCTGTGGTGTTGGATTGGAATCAAAGGTGAACTCATTGTTTTTTACATGGAAAGATCAATAGAAGATAGATAGATAGATAGATAGATAGATAGATAGATAGATAGATAGATAGATAGACAGACAGATAGAAGATAGATAGAAGACATAAATGTGTGTAAAATAATACATATATTTTCTAGGACTGTCCACTGAGAGGTCTGGAAACAATGACACTCCTAGAACAATGAGCACATCTAGCACCCAGATCTTGGCTTCTACACATCATTCTCTATTAAAAGAAAGAAGCATCCCTTGGAGCAATGGCTGATTCCAGAGCTGTGGCAGAGAAATTACCAGATGAGTCTGGAACATCTTGCTGTGACAGAAAGTAAGCAAGTGCTCAAAGAATTATGGCAATAGAAACCAGCTTGGGAGCTGGACAAAATCTGGGAAATTTTAAGCATCAAAATAAATAATGAGGTAATGAGGAAAACACTCAACATCTGTAATATTGCTGTCAAAGTTGCATAACCTACATCTAATCATGAGGAAACAACAAATAAGCCCAAATTAAGGGCCATTCTACAATAGCACTGTACTGTTCTTCTAAATTGTCCCAGTCATGAAAGTAAAGGAAAGGCTTAGGAATCATTTCAGACAGAGGGAGACTGGAAAGACCGGCAACTAAATGCAATGAATAATCCTGGACTGATCCTTTGGTTATAAAGGACAACATTGGGCCAATTGATGAAAGTGCAGTAAGGTCTGGGGGTTATATAGAACCAATGTATCGATGTTAATTTCCTGATTGAGAGCATTGTGTTAGATTATGAAGGAGCATGTCCTCATTTGTAGGAAATATATATTAAAATATTAGGGAGTAATGAGGCATCATGGAGGCAACTTACTCATAAGTGGTTCAGGAAAGGGGGAAGTTCTTTGTATATCATTGTAACTTTTCTGTACCTTTGAAATTACTTCAAAAGAAAAAGACAAGGAAAGAGTGAATGAAATCCCTAAGGCAGTGGAGAGTGAGAGGAGGATGAGGCAGTGCAATATTAACCACTGACACCAAAGGGTTCCATATATATAAGGAGAGGGCAGCTAATAATGTGTAATGTTGCAAAAAGAAGAGAATTTTTTAAAAGGTTTAATACCTATTTACAAATTTTCTACATTTACAAATTTTCTACATTATTAATCATGGCAGCATCTTCATACATGTGCAATGCAATGGAAAGTAAACCCATTATTCCATTCACAGACAATACTGAATGTGCATATGGATTTGACTTCCACATGGAAGCAACTAACAACTTCTTAACTTCCCTGGGCCCTGGGATTCAGAGATTGGAAGCCTGTTCTTACTATAAACCATTAAAGTTTTAAAAAGAAAATCACAATGACATAATTATATTAGCTCTTGTCAGGAGGCCAGGTCCCCCAATTCCTAGTTTTAAACGGGATCTTTTTAAAAATTTAGTGTATTCTTTTTTTTTTTTTTTTTTTTTTGGAGACGGAGTTCTCGCTCTGTCGCCCAGGCTGGAGTGCAGTGGCCGGATCTCAGCTCACTGCAAGCTCCGCCTCCCGGGTTCACGCCATTCTGGCCAGGGGCAGTGACTCAGTCTCTGTAACCCCAACACTTTGGGAGTCGGAGGCGGGAGGATCGCTTGAGCCCAGGAGTTCAGAGAACAGCCTGAACAACAAAGCGAGACTCCGCCTCTTAAACACACACACACACACACACACACACACACACCCCGAAAAACCGATTGTGGTGGCATGCGCCTGTAGTCCTGTAGTCCCAACTACTCGGGAGGCTGAGGTGGGAGAATCGCTTGAGCTCTGGGAGTCCAGGCTGCAGCAAGCCTTGATTTGCACCACTGCACTCCAACCTAGGCGGCAGGGCGAGGCCCTGTCCCAAACAAAATTACATAAATTAATTTAAATAAAATTTAGTGTAATCTAATGATATAATTTGATGCTCACATTTTGGGAGAAAAGAATCTGTATATGTAATTATTAATGTGCCCAAGTAACACACGTTCATTATAGACAGATGGAAAATGCAGATAAACAGAGAACAAATTTTAAGCCACCTATACGCCCACCATCCAAAAATAATTTGTTAGCATTTTGATGTCTATTTTAGACTTCAAAATGCAAATCGCATCTATAATTTTTTGCAGTTAAAGAGGGACGCTGCCCTGTGCTATTTTGTATCTTGCATCTTCTCCTCCACTCCCCCCCCATCCATTTAGAGCAAACACGGTCTCAGGAACTAAATATACTTCAAACGCCTCATTTTTAAGGACGCGGCAAGGAATTCCATTGAGCAAATGGACGGTGACTTATGTAATCATGTTCCTATTTAAGGACTTTTACGTTGGGCGCGGAGAGATAGTGCCGCAGAACCTGCGGACCAAGCCGAGACAAGTCGAAAATGGGAGGTTGGTGGACAGCTAGCTAGGTAGCTGAGTTGGGTTTTAAGCACACAGGGACGGAGGAAAGAGGGCCGGCAAGGCCGCGGCCGGCGGAAAGCAATGGGCCGGTGAAGTCGGATTTGGGCGCCGCGCGAGGCGGAGGACGGTTGGTTCCCAAAGTCAAAGGGCAGCGGCTGAGTTGAGACCCACCCAATTAACTGGGGCTACGCGCCCCAAGGCCCGAAAGCTGGTGCGCCGCCGCCTCTGACCAACAGAGGGCGCTGTGTCCTCAGCAGTTCGCGGTGGGCGGCTCCCAGCTGCTGGCCAGATGTAGGCAGCTGGACCGCGGGAGGCGCGAAGCCCTACCCGAGCCCCTGCAGACCCGCAGGCGGAGGAGGGAGGGGCGAAGAAGGGAGGCTCCCAGCTGCTGGCCAGATGTAGGCAGCTGGACCGCGGGAGGCGCGAAGCCCTACCCGAGCCCCTGCAGACCCGCAGGCGGAGAAGGGAGGGGCGAAGAAGGGACGGCAGGGGGCAAGGGTGGTGGCAGAGCACTCCAACTGTCGTTGCTCTGCAGACTCCTGGACTGCCTTCTCCTGTAGGGCAGAAGAGGGGCGCCTCCCACCCAGGGGGGGACGTTTTCTGATTCCTACCAAAGTGCAGTCTGGGCTACCCGTGGCCCTGGGCTGGCTCAGCATAACCCAGAGGGGTCCACAGGGCGGGGTGCAGGGCCTGGAGAGACCCACGCGGCAGTCTGCAGCGGGAAAGAGAGCTGGACTTTAAGGCCTTGAACTTATTGAGAATCCAGCCCTTGACTCCAGATGTTCTAACATCCACACAGACCGTCTCTGAGCTCTTTCTGCTCTGGGTGCTGTGTGCATTGGAGGAGTGAGAAACTGAGGCACAGCGGGATGGAGTACTGAGCAGACCTCTTCTCCCCATATTGTCTGGGGCGGAGAAGCTGGGCTAGAGTCCGAAGCTCCAGTGAAGGACCCCGGGGCCAGGGACAACCCCAGGGACCCCGCCCCCTTGACCTGCCCGCTGTCCCCACCCCTGGCCGCTCCCCAGGCTCCGGCAGGGGTAATCAGCTGCTGCGTGTTGCTGTAATTGGCAGCGCAGACCCGGCCTGGCGCAGGGGCGGGCGAGGGGCTTAATTGCAGGGCTTTGGCCAGCAGTCTAGGCTGCAACTCCACTGGGGGGAAGGGAGCGGGCCCCTTAGCTCCGCAGGCCTGGCTTTGGAGGAAGCCAAAGGCCTTTGGGTAGGTAGCCGGGGATCCCTTTCCCGGAAACTGGGGTTTCGTGAGTTGGGGGGAGGTTGAACCCCAGCGAGGGTGAAAGGCGGAGGAGCGGGATGCCTCGGGAGAGCTGCGGGGGTGGTGGGGGCAGATTCCAAACTCCCCACCCAAACCCCAGAAGCCCTGGTTAGTCTAGTCCGAGACTCCTCCCTCATTCTGACCCCCCTCCCCTTTCTGCTGCCCCGGTTACCCCCCTTCTTGTATCCCCAGGGCGCTCCCACCCTGGGGAAGAATGTGCCCTCCTTGCGCACCCTTGCCATGGCAACGGCACACCCCCACCCCCGCGCACCGCAGCAGCCGGGCCTGGCCCCGCGGGCGGCGAGAAAAGAGGGGGGGGGCGGGCGCCTCCCAGCCCCGAGGACACACCTCGGCTGCCCTGGTTACCACAGTAACCGGGGGCATTCCAAAGTGCGCAGTCGCGAAGTGGCAAAGGGCTTCCTCACGATCCTATACCCCCCAACCCACTAGCAGGGGTTAGCGGCTCCAGGGAGAGACCTCCTCCGCGCCAACCCTAACTTCCAGGACAAGGTCCAGAGAAGAATCATGGGGTGTCCCAGCTTCCATACACCGCAAGCCTAGGGAGCAAAGGCATCTGGGGCCCCTGAAAGCCTGGCACCTGAAAAGGGATACCCCAGTCGCCAGCTTGTCCTCCTCCCCCACCAGAGCCCGAGGGAGGCGCTGGCAGCAGGAAGCTGGGGAAGGGCCCGGAGGAGCGCAGGCCCCACAGCCGAACGGTGATTACAGGGACCTGTCCCTCCCGCCCCCAGCTCCCACTCTCATTAAGTCATTTTTTCCCCTGTTGGAAAGTCCCCGTGCCTTGAGCGCAGGGGCTGGGGCGACCGCAGGCAGCTGCCGGCAACCACATGAGAAGTGGGGGGAGGAGGAGAGAAGGGGGCTGTGACTAGAGCCTGGCCACACTCCAACGTGGAAGGCCCCCTGCCGGGGGCTAGCTAGGGGCACATTAATTTAGGGGAAGTAGAGGGAGCTCCGGGATGACCCTGAACTTGCTTCTCACCCGCCGGGGCTCTCCTACAACTACAAGTCTACCTTTGAGTGCCTCTACCCTGGACCTTGGGTGACTGCAAAGCAGGATGCCTGCGTTCTGATCTCATCCCAGCCTGGCTGCCTCTCCCTGACCCTTAACCCCACCACTACCTTCTAATCTGTCCACCACCCTCATTCTGTTATTTCCCTTCCTCCTCCTCCTTTTTCCTCCTGCAAGGAGGTAACCTAGCGCCCATCAGGTGAAAAGTGTTGGTGGCAGGGGATGTCCTCTCCTTCTCTGAATGATCTCTACCCACCTTCTGTCCTCATTTCCAAATCTCACCCCCGATCCTTCCCAGGCTGTTGGCAAGTTCTTCCTCCCTTCTAAACTGCACCCTCCCACTTTATTCCAGCCCATTTCCCCTATTTCCCGTCAGTTTATTGATCCCTGCCACACCCTTCATCCAGTATGCATAAGCTCAGTGCCATTTGGGCCCCATTTTCCTACCCTCCGTCACCTCCACATTTTCCTAATTTAGGTTCCTTATCAAGTCCCATACACCCCTTTTCAACTGTGGGCGTCAGCTTTCATCTCGGAACTCATCAGCTTCTGGGCTTCACAAGTTAGGTTAACACATATCAGATCACCTTGACTTATGTCATTAAAGCATGTCCCCTCCCTACAACTCCGGGTCCAGCCTCCTGCCCCACCCAACTACCCACCCCTCTCTCTGTACTGAACACATGCTTTGCAGCATGGCTGCTCCTACCTTATTCCAGTCCTGATCCTCTACCTCTCATCTTCAGTCTCCCCTCCCCCAGCTCGGTCCTCCTTAAGCCTCGAAGGCAGAGGAGGGTTAGGCCAGGACTAATGTTGCAGTGGACACTGCTGGGCATGGCAGCACCCCCTCAACCCCAGGCCTCCATTTACCCCACCTCTTCTCTCCTCCTTTCTGGGATGGGAGGGAGGAAGGGGGTGGAAAACCCAGCCCCCACAGCTCTCCTAGGTGATCAAGAGGAAAGGAATGAGGCAGGTGTGTCTGGTTGCTCCTGCCTACCCCTCCTCCTGGGGGACTCTCACCCGCCCGCTTGTAGGGCTGTCTTTTGGGGGATGGGGAAAGAAACCCTGTCCTCCAGAGAAGCAGCAGAGCTGAGCATTTGGAAGGCCCCACTACCATAGGCATGCCTGCGAGCTGCTGGCATTTGAAGGGGAAGGAGATGAGGGGCAAGCTCATGGGGGCAAATCTCCCAGCTGGTGGGCCTACTGGGGTGTATCACTAAGAGGTCCCCCTTTCCTTCTCATTCCTACCCAGGGGTAAGGAGACATGGATCAGGGGTGGAAAATATGGAGAATTTGTGCAGGCTGGTCACTGGGGAAAGGAATAAGTCTTCGTCCTTGCCTGGTTCATCAAGAGGGGTGCTATTCTAGGGTAAATTGAGGCAGCCAGCAGGATCCCCCAAGTGTGAGCAGCATGAGGCCTGGATGCAGTAGGTTAAGTGTTCTTTCCCTGAGATCCTGACCTCACTCCCCTCTCCACTGCCCTCCTCCTTGAGGGTCTGTTCCAGAAAAACGTCAGATCCAAGAACCAAGGAGAGTGCAACACTGGACCCAAACTGCTCAACAGTGTCCTCATGGGGACATGAGGGTGGGGAGGGATTGCTGACCTGCTAAGGAGCACCCTGATATGGGGATCTGGGAGCACAAGAGACCCAGGAAGAATGTGCCCCCTGTGCCTTACTTATATACCCTGCCTGGACTCAGAGAGACCAGAATCCAGACAGTGAGTCTCCGGGCCCTCCTCCGCCACCCTTTTCCCAGCCGCGCCTCCTGGCCCCACCTGCTCCCCGGGGCGCTGGGCTGGGCTGAGCTGGGTCTTGCCCAGGATTACTCCTCTGAGTGCCTCCTGTCTCTGCAGACAGTTGCTGCTGGGCACGGCCACTCGTCCTGGCTTGTGGCAGAGGGCTCAGGCACAAGGTGGGCGGTTAGAGCTCTGGCACCAGAGCCCTTCTGAACATCCCCACTGCTTCCAACCAGTCCAAGCCCCATCTCTGATTTAGAAGATAGTTGTTATTCCTCACTGGCTTACCAGCTGTCACCTCATCCCCCTTCAGCCTGTTCCCCATCAATGATCCACGTGAGACTTGGACCATGACACTCCCCTGCTTAAGAATCTCAAGGTTCCCATTCCTCTTTAATAAAATCCCAACTCCTTACCTCGGCTTAGAAAGACACACGATGTGACTTTTGCCCACCCTCTGAATACTTCTCTTGCTAGTCTGTCCCTTGATTTCTTCACTGCAATCACAATGGCCCCTCTGCTGTTCCTCCAGCAGGCAGAGATCTTTCTCAGCTCACACTGTCTGCCTTCATATGGCCTCTGCCTGGAATGCCCTTACCCGTACTCTTTGCATGGCTTATGGTGCAGGTCCCAGCATGGGTATCACCACTCAGAAAGGCCTTCCCTGAGGAACCAGCGGCTTTGTCTGAGGAGCCCCACTCCCCACAAATCCCCCTACACCCAGCAGCCTGCACACAGCATTGTCTGAAATGACCTTGTTTGTATATTTACTTGTTTATTGCCCATGCCTTCCCCCAGCAAGAATGTAACCTCCAAGAGGACAAGTGCTGTGTCTCACTTACATCTGTGGCCCCAGTGCCTCACATTGCCACCCCCACGCCCCCCAGAGTGCCGCAAAGAGAGTGCAAAATAAATATTTGTTAAATGAATGATGAGGGGAATGGTGGGGGAGGGTGTCTGGGCCGTTTATGGAATTACTTCAGCTCAGTTATGTCTATTTCTTTTTTTTAATCCTCCTCTCTCTGCCCATCAGCTTCTATTCATTCCCTACCTCCCATCTCCAGGGAAGGGGTGAAAGGATGGAGACAGACTGAGGGGTTGCCTGGCTGACGCTTGTTTTAGTGTATGGGGCAAACCCCAGCCCAACTGAACTGTCTGGGCTTGGGGGAAGCAGGAAGAACCCAGTAAGTCCTAGAGCCCACAGAAGTGAGTGGTGGGGTTCAGACAGGCCTGGACTGTCCAGCGATCACAGACCTCAGAGCTGAGAGGTTCCTGTAAGATCATGTGGTCCAATCTCCTCTCCCAAGAGCCAAGGCGATACTGCCTTGCCTCAGAGGGCCAGACTCCAGGAGGGGACCTCGTTCAGGGCCCAGGGGACCCCGGGCCGCTCACTTGCAGACGCTGACCCACTCGGTGATGCGGCACTCTTCGCAGACCACGAAGCAGCACCAGTGGAAGCGGCAGTGGCAGCGCTCGCTGCGCGTCTGGCGCAGGATGTTGTGGCCGCGGCCGCAGCACATGCTGCCGCAGCCATCCGAGCCCGCGCTGCTCTTGTTGCACAGGCGGCCCACGGTGCCCGCCGAGTCCAAGCGCGGCTCGCGCTCGCAGAAGTCGGGTGACTTTTCGAAGTAGACCAGGTCGGCGGGGCTGGCCCGGCGGCGTGGCCCGGGAGCGCCGGGAGCCGGCGAGGGTGCCCCCGCTGGGCCCGGCTCCAGCTGGCCGCCGTTGCGGTTGTGCGGCCGGATGAGCGTGGCGCGGTGGAAGCGGCTGCGCAGCAGCGCCCCCACGGTGCGGAACTCGGGCGTCACCTGCCAGCACGTCTTAAGCTGGCAGCTGCCTGACGTGCCGTGGCACTTGCACTTCCGCCGCATGTTCTCCATCACTGCCTGCGGAGGGAGGCACCGTGAGGGGTGACATTGGCGCCCAGCGCCACTGCCCTCCTCCCAGCGCTGAGTCTGGCCTGCTTCTGAAACCCACTCCCATTATACAGAGGCAAACGCTGAGGCCCCGAGCGAGGGTCCCACAACCAGTCAGAAAAACTTCTGTACCTGCTCTTCTGCCTCTGCCTCTCCTACCCACCTCCCACCAGGCCAGGCCCCGGGGGAATTCCCACCTTCCGGCTCCCCTCCTCTCCGGCCCGCCTTTCCAGCAGCTGCAGGGGGCCCTTGGGGCTGGAGGCCCTTGCTTCCTGAAGGGGGATCCCAAATCGGCAGGGAAATTCCCTCTCCTGCCACCCCTGGGGTAGGGGCCAGGAGCAGGAGGGTGCTGGCCCCGTTGTATCTCGCTCCAGGTTGTTTGTGTGTGTGTGTGTGTGTGTGTGTGTGTGTGTGTGTTGGGGTAGGGGGGTGGGGGGCGGTGTTCAGTGAGTTTGAGAAAGCCTTGGTCCCCCTCTTAGTGCTTCCCCTTCCCGCTCCCCCTACATCTCTTTGTAGAGAGCCAAAGGAGGGGGACAAGTGCTGGGGAGACTGCCCCCTGATTATGCTGCCTGGGACTCATTCTGCACTATGCTGAGACCCATGGTTCCTCCTAGGAAAAGCCAGCGCCACCAGGGGCCAAAGCTCTACCTGAATATAGAAAGGAACCAGAGAGAGCCAGGCTCTACAGCCCAGTGAAAGTGGAGAAGCCCTCAGGCCTCCAAGGGAGGTGGTTATGGGAATGAAACCTAGCCACCCCCAACCCAGCTCACAACCTGCTCTAGAGTCTCCTCACTAAGAACCCTTTGACATTTTCACCAGAAACCCCATAAGAAGTTGGCCACATCCCCTCCTTTCCCTCAGTCTACTCCGAAAACACACCCTGAGACAGGGACAGCAATGATCTAGGGCCCTTAAACTTGGGCAGTAGGGCCATAAGAGAGGGTGCCTTCCCCTCGAGGTCTGAAAGGGCTTCTCAGCCTGCATGTGCAGCCTGTGCTGTCAGCACCACGTGGGAACCAGCCCAATGCCTCCCCAGGCCAACAGCTCCAGAACATCTGCTTCCCACGGGCAGCAGCCATTAATTAACCAGTTTAACGAGGAGGAGGCACCGTTGGTATGGGCTGGGATGGCGGTGAAGCTTGGGAAAAGAGCCGTACAAGGCAGGCTGGGTGGGAGCTGGACATGACCCAAGGGTAAGTGTGCCTCAGTTTACCCCGCCTCTAAGTGAGGATGGGAATTGCTGAATCAGCTTGGAGTCTTTGTGCAGGAAGATGACCCATCGTGGGCTAAGAAGCCAAGAGAAAGGAGAGTGAGATGGAGAAGGTGCCAGCCAGAGTGAGAGGAAGCCAGGAAAAAGGCCTCAACAGGCTGGGCAGAGTCAAGAGAAGGGATGATGGAGGTGGAATGTTCAGGAAAGGACAGTGCTGAGCTACCATGAAAGCCAACAGGGCATCAGAGTGCAGATTCAACGCTGTAGAACAAAAGAGCACAGGCTCAGAGGTCAACTTCCTGGGGATGAATCCTGCCTGGACCACCTTCTCACCAGTTGCATCATTTTGGGTAAGCTTCTTGGTCAATCCGTGCCTCAGTTTCCATATCTCAACATGAGGTTAATAACAGTGCCCACCTCATAGGTAGTTGTAAGGATTAAATAGGTTAATATGTAGGAAAGTGCTCAAGACAGTGCCTAACACATAGTAAGCAATCAATAAATGCAACCTATTATCCCTTTCCTTTCTTCTACTTTTTTATGTATGTGTGTATGTATTTATTTTTAATGAATGACCTTTGAGGTAGTAGGAGCATTTGAGGACAGAGGATAAAGGAGGAAGGCACCGTAACACAGTTCCCCAGTGACCCCTAGGAACTTCACTTACACCCCTTACTTTGCAGGAATCCCTCATTCTAGACTGCACAGAAAGGCTGGGAGAGATCACCGGATCATGGAACATTAGCATTGTGGGGAACCTTAGGGATGATCTAGTTCAACCTTCTCACTCCACAGGGAAGGAGTCAGATGGCAGTGCCAGGCCTAGACTCCTGCAGTCCTGACTGCACCCCTGTCCTTTCTCCTGGGTGATCTCCCGAGGAAGTAGGAGGAGCAGGTTGCTCAGCAGGTGGTATGCTGATCCAGGGCAACAGGGCTTGTTTCAGCCTTGTATCCCCAGGCCTAGTCCAGTGCCTGGTGCACAGGGCATACTCAGTGCATGCTTGTTGAATGAGTTAGACAGGGTCAATGAGAAGATTGCCAAGGTGTGACGTGCGGGAGCAATGTGGTCCTCAGAGGAGAGATAGGCCTGGGCAAGGGGTAGGCCCTAGGCAAAGGGATTTGAAGCAGACCCGGGTGTGGGGCTCTCACCTGCCTCCCAACTCGGTTGTTGTGAAGCCTCATTCTTGCGTGGATGTCTCTGTGAGGCTCCCGGGAGTCCAGAAAGTCCTTAGAGAAGCGCTCCCCAAAGCCCATGTCGGGGCTGCAGCCGCCCCACTCCCAGGAGTCCTGCAGGCCTGGGCTGGCTGTGGGCAGGGCTGGGTGTTCCGGGACCCCATGGCTCAGGCCCTTACCACGCTGCAGTGCGTCCAGTTGTAGGCGGTGCAGCTTCCTACGGAAGGCCTCCTCATCCCCTCGCCGGGACGCGTCGCAGCCACAGGCCTTTAGTTTGCCCAGGGCACACGCATTGGACACGGCGTGTACAACACCAGCTGCCGCGATGGCGTAGGCAAAAGCGCTCTCTCGGAAACCTGTGGTTAAAGACCCAGAATACATGGACTCTGGAGGGGCCTCGACACCCCATTCTCCAGCCCACCCTTCTCATCATCCCAAGGAGAAACTGAAGCCCAGTATATAGGAGACAGTGTGTGTTGTTAGATGGGGCTCAGTATGCAAGGACAGTATGCAAGCCCAGTATGCAAGGACACAGAGTCAAAGAAGGGCAGCAATCACGCCAGAAGCCAGTTCTTCTGCACACAGAACCTGGTGGGGTGGGAGGGAAGCTTCCCAATAGCCCTCTGCTTTTTGTACGCCCTTCTCCTGTTCTTTAACATCACCTTTAGTAAACTCAGAATTTGTGTGTCTACATCTCTACTGTAGGGCAGAAAGTATCTGCTAAACACATTCTTTTTACAATCAGGGACTTAATCTATTACCTTTCACGGTGGTATCTGCAATTTTAAAATAAGCCCACAGAATGAGGGCAATGTTTAACCTAAAGAATTCATTGCCAGTGATGTTGCTGGTGGGAATGTAAACTAGTACAACCACTATGGAAAACAGTGTGGAGATTCCTCAAAGAACTAAAAGTAGAACTACCATTTGATCCAGCAATCCCACTACTGGGTATCTACCCAGAGGAAAAGAAGTCATTATATGAAAAAGATACTTGCGACCGGGCGCGGTGGCTCAAGCCTGTAATCCCAGCACTTTGGGAGGCCGAGACGGGCGGATCACGAGGTCAGGAGATCGAGACCATCCTGGCTAACACGGTGAAACCCCGTCTCTACTAAGAAATACAGAAAACTAGCCGGGCGCGGTGGCGGGCACCTGTAGTCCCAGCCACTCGGGAGGCTGAGGCAGGAGAATGGCGTGAACCCGGGAGGCGGAGCTTGCAGTGAGCTGAGATCCGGCCACTGCACTCCAACCCGGGCGACAGAGCGAGACTCCACCTCAAAAAAAAAAAAGAAAGAAAAGAAAAAGATACTTGCACACGCATGTTTATAGCAGCACAATTTGTAATTGCAAAAACATGGTACCAGCCCCAATGCCCATCAACCAACAAGTAGATAAAGAAATTGCGGTATACATATGTCACAGAATACTCCTCAGCCATAAAAAGGAACAAAACAACGGCATTCACAGCAACCTGGATGGAATTTGAGACTATTATTCTAAGTGAAGTAACTCAGGAATGGAAAACCAAATATCGTATGTTCTCACTTATAAGTGGAAACTAAGCTATGAGGATGCAAAGGCATAAGAATGACACAATGGACTTCGGGGACTCGGGGAAAGGGTGGGTGTGAGGTGAGAGATCAAAGACTACACATTAGGTACAGTGTACACTGCTCGGGTGATGGGTGCACCAAAATCTCAGAAATCACCACTAAATAACTTATTCATGTAACCAAACACAACCTGTTCCCCAAAAACCTATTTAAATAAATAAATAAATAAATAAATAAAATGATATTTCATAAAATAAGATGTACACAATTTTGGGGGAAATAAGAATAAATTGTCGATGATGAAATTCCAGGCCTGAGGAGATGTCAATGGGCAGCAGGGTAAGTCAGAAGAGACGGTCAGCTCCTAATGCTCCCTGCCCCAAGATAGCCTGATGGGTGCATGCCCATCTTAGGTACAGCATAGGACCTTCCCTAATGACCAGACTCCAGAGGCAAAGAAATGGGTCACCAGGGCTTCCCCTTCCTTGTCCACAGGATATCCCTGAAAGCCACTCAGAAATGGGCGCTACCCAGCCACCTTGCCTGTGATCCATCCAGGTCAGCTGAAGAGGCTGTTGGAGGGGTGCTAGAGGAAAGCCCAGGGTCCTGCATGGGGTCTGGCATGTAGCAGTGTTGAACATGGAGAAGGAAGGGCAAGCTGAGGCAGATACCTTCCACCAGATGTTCAGGAGGCACAGACTCTCCCTGACCAAGCCACTCTTGGGGGCTGCCGTTGGGCCGGCCTGCCCACTGGCTTGTCCACAATGCCTTCCTTCTTGGTGCTCCAGCCTGAGCCTTTCTCTGGGAACACCTGGACCTGTGGCAGGGGGAGGCCTACTTGCAAAGGAGGGTCGCATTATCAGACATGCAGGCTATCTTTTGCTTATTCTGCATCTGAGAATGGACCAGCTAGGAACAAGTTCTGGTACAAGTCTCCGACCAGCCTCCGCACACCAGAGAGAGGGCAGGCAGCAAGAGAAACCAGAGGCCTAGGCCAATCCACCTTAATCCTCACCTGCCGCATCACAGAGCCCTGTCCTCCCCTTCCTGCCAAAAACACAAACAAACAAAAAAAAAAACAACAAAAACAAACAAAAACAAAACAAAAAACAGAAAGAAATACAACAAGCTGTTTAGTAGTTAAGAACTGATTCCTGAAACCAGTTTGCTTCAAATCTTGGCTCTTCCACTTACTAGCTGCTAATAGCTATGTGACCTTGGCCAAGTGACTTAACCTCCTTGTGCCTCAGTTTCCTTATCTGTAAAATAGGGCTATTATCTGCCTCATTGTTGTTCCGAGAATTAAATGAATTGGTAAATTTAAAGTGCTTAGAATAGTGCCTTACTAATTGAGGAAGTATTACTCCAACATTAGCTATTACTGAGAAGTTCTTTCTCCTATCTGACCTCACTCAATCCTGCTGCATTTTTTGGGTCATTGTTTTTTGTTTCACCCTGATCAGGGACAAAGCCCAGCAGCTCATGACCCATTTTAGAACAGGTCACTTGGACCACCAGATGCCTGTGAAGCAGACTGTCTCTCTCTCTTTCCAGCTTATGGTATCTCAGTACATTTTTCCATAAGGAATTCAGCTATGAGCAGAGAAGAGGGGTTGGGGATGGGGTTGGAACCTTCTATGGGGATACTGGGAATTAGCAGGAGATGCAGAGGAGTAGAAACTGCCCTGGGAAAGTGGAACCTAAGGAGAAGGAGGATGGAACCAAGCTCCTGGGAAGCACACCCTGCATTTACCCCTTGCCTTTTATCTGTGGAACTCCGAGCACTTCTCTTATTGCTGGGGAGTCATCAGCCTGCTCCTAGGACACATGGCAATACTCAGACCTCCAGAGCCAGCCCAGGCCTCAGAAATCACCTCCACACAGACACTGCCACCGCTACCAAACACACACACATTACGCAAAAGGAGAAAACACAGGTCACAGGGGCTATGGAGCTGCATCCAGACCCAGCTCTCCCAGCTTCCAGGTCTGGCATCTTTCTATTGTAGGACATGTGACTCCATGGGAGTCCTGCTGCTGAGAAAGAAACCCAGGTAGCTCAGTTTCTAGTTCCTATCACCTTGTGTGTGCATGGCACCAGGAAAGAGGATGAGGTTGGTCCAGGGAGGTGTGCAGGGCCGACCACCATCTTCTAGGCCCTGTCACATTTAAGGGTAAGCCTGGGGAAATCTGGAGAAATGTGCCCCATCGCTGCAGAGAACACCCCTACCCTGTGCAGCTAACGACACCTTCCCTACACCACCCTTTGGCCTCTGACAGCTGTCATAGCCACGTGCAGAGGTGACAAGGCAGGGCCTGTGTGGCCACCCACTGCTGCAAGTATCCAGGCCTCATAGAAGTCCAGCCCACTGGGTCTGCCCCCAGCTCCTGTTCAGGGCCCCAGTTTCGGTTCTGGCCCCAACTGTCTGGGGCAGACACAGGCACTGTGCCATCTGGCCAGCTGGAGGGGGAGCGGGTGGGGCCATGGCCAGCTGGGCTGCCCGGAGCAGGGAGAGGGGGGCTCGTTAAGACACACAATTAGCCGCCCTGCCTTTGATCTGGGACAGGGACTGCCAGCATCTAAGTGGAGTCAGCTGCTGCTACAGGCCACAGCAGCCAACGGCTGGGAAGGGGCTGGGGGAGGAGGTTTGGAGGGCAGGGGAGGGTGGAGGAGAGAGGATTCAGGAGCCAATGGAAACTAGAAGGGGTTAGAGAAGCTTGAGCCCTACCCATTCAAGTCAAAGAGGGAGGGAAGGGGAGAGGTCTGGTCTCCATTCTCTCCATGCAAATAATCTGCGCATTGCTCATGTGCCTGGGCAGAGAGACAGAGACTAGTGTGCATGTGGGAACACTTAGGCGTGACACTGAATGGAGCCACACATATGTAAAAACAGGAGTAGGTGTTTGGCGTGTGTGTGTGTGTGCGCGCGCGCGCACGCACATATGCATGTCAGTTTCATTTCTTGGCATGCTCTTCCATTGCACCAGCTCACCTCTCTGGGTACACAGTGGGACTTCATGTTGGCCTTGCAACTTGGGAGATAGTATAAAAGGGGATTGGGTGCAAACTTTAAAGTCAGCTGGCCTGCATTTGACTCCTAGCTCTATGGCTCACTTTCAAGCTGTGTGACTAACAGCAAGCTACCCAGCTTCTCTTAGCTTCATTTGTAAAATGATACTAATGATAGGACCTACAATATGGGGACTGTTTGGGGGTCCTAAAGCACGGATAAAATGCGGTAGAGCGGTGCCTACACAGCAGGTGCTTAGTATATGTTGGCTAATTAATTGGGTATCATTAGAATAATAGAACCTTAAGTGATCCTGGGATATGAGTGCCCATGCCTTGGTTTCCCCATCTGAGCACCACCCCAATCCCTGGAGGCCTAGGCATAAAACCAAGAGGATAAATGTAAAAAGGAGGTGGGAGAGAAATGAGCCAGGGCCATGGAGAGCAGAGCCTGGAAACCCACGCTGCTGGCTTCCCCTGGGCTGGGAGCATGGCTTCAGGGCCTCATGCCCTCTCTTTCCATCCGTTCCAAATGGGTCTGGGCCTTAGGGAAGACAGTACCTAAACTGTGTGGGAGCTCCCAGGGCCTGCTGTGTGAATCTACTACATTTCCCTCCATCAAATCTCTCCCTGACCTCTCCTCCCCTCTCACTCCAGTGCTGAGCCCAGCTCCCAGCTGCCCCCTCCTCAAATTTCCTCCAGTCCTCGTGTCCACAGTGAGGGAAGGGGTTCTCTGTTCCTCACAATGATCCACTCCCCTCTACCAGATGTTCTGCCCAGTACCCAGCCCAGGAACCAACCATCTAGATTCTTAGCACGAAAAACTAGGGCTACCAGTGCCATTGGCACTAAGGTCATTGCTGCTCCTGAACTAGGTGAAGCAGCCAGCATGGACTTGGGGCCCTCCCACAGCTTTTTCTGACCCTCTCTCTTCCTACCGGAGGCCCCTGTCCCTGTCCCCCATGGCCTAGGCTCCAGCACCCCTTCATCCCCCTCTGCTTGGCTGGGCAAAGCCCTATTGCATGCCTCGCCTTCCCAGGTTTGTCCACTTCACATGCTCAAGCCCTCTTCCCCCTCCCTCTATCAAAACTCCATCCCTCCAGCCCAGCTCATCTCAGGGAAGATGTCAGGACAATTCAATGATGGTAACAGCATTAAAGAAGGCCCAAGGGACCCAGGACCCCAACCCAAGCAGTGTCTGAAGTTTAAACATGGCAGAATCCACATTTAAGAGGATCCTAACCCATTGATAACATGGGTCAGAAAAGGCATCAGCACCCAGACATTCCACTTGGAGGAAACGGAGGTCACCTGAGCCACACAATGGGCAATGTGTAACTTGGAAAGAAAGGAGATTCCTGGTGGAAGGAAGTAGACCAGGGGCTGGTTGACACCGTGGGTGGCTTCATGGGATTCCAATTTAGCTAGTCCTCCAGAAGATGGGCCAAGATGGACTGAGAAACGACTGCCCCCAGGAGGATAAACCTGCAGGTGGAGTCAGGGGTGCAGTGGTGGCCAGTGGAGGAGAGGATTGGCAGATTTATTTCCAGAAGCCCAGAGTCCCTTCTGAGAAGCAAGAGGTAGAAATGAGGTGTGAGGTGTAGCAATGAGGGGCGTTGATGGGGAGCTGGGGAGTGGAAACCACAGAGGTAGGCCAGTGTCCTGAGGCCCAGGGAAAGTGCCCAGCCCCGCTACTGCGGCTGGAGCCGGGCAGCCACTGTCCCACTCCCTCCCCATGCTGAGCACCTCCCTGCCCTGGCTAGCCCCGGCAAGTCGTCCCTCTCCAGCCCTAACCTCCTCCCTCCACCCGTCCCCCCAGCTCACCTCGCGCTTATTAAACTGCAGGTGAACCCGGGAGCGCCTGGCACCCAGCCAGCCCTGCGCTGTTCTGCCGCTCTGAACTCTCCCCCAGGCTTCAAAGACCCCAAGGTCCTCCAGCAGGCCGCGCGGGCCTGACCCAGCGAGGCTCTCAGGGCACCTGGGTTCACTGGGTCTAGAGGGAACAGGAAGACAGAGGGGATACCAAGGCGGAGGAGAGGGATGCAGAGCTTGCCTTGCCTCACCCGAAGCTGCAGAAGTTAGAACCTCCGCGCCTACCCCGGTCCCCAGCGGGCAGAAACCAAAGCCAGGGCTACGGAGTCCTCATGGGGTACCCGAGGGCCCCGGAGGGAAACGCGGCTGCGGAGAGCGCGGGCGACCTAGAAACCAGAGGGTAGGAACCGGCGCGCGGCGGCGGTGAGCGCCGGCCCGGCCCAGCCGGGGCATGAATGGTGCCGAGGCCAGTCACTTCGTGTCGGCGCGCGGGCGGCGGGACAGGAGGAGAGTGCGGCCCGAGCTGGGCAGGACCCGGGGGTCCCGGGCAGCCGCTCCTGGACGGCTGGAGGGGCGGGAGGGGGCGGGAGCGCGGGGCAGGGCGGGGGGCGCCCTCTGAGAGCGGCGCGGCTGGGGCCGGGAGCCGTCTGCCGCTGCCCGCGGGGATTAGTTCGCGGCTGCATGCCGCCACACGCGTCGGGCTGGGCTCGGCCGGGTAGAAACAGCGCCCGGGGCGCGCGGGGGAGGGAGGAGGGAGCGCGCGGGGGCGGGGCGGGCGGCCTGGGGCTCGGCTGGTGGAGGCTGGGGTGGCCCCTGACTTGGGGGCCCAGGGGATGCAAGCAGGGGCCCTGAAGAAAAGGGAAGGGCCTCGGCTTTCTGAGTTTTCCGAATTTGAGGTACAGCCTGACTCCCAAAGAAGCCTCAAGACCCAAAGCTACAAGGTGTATGCGTACCTCTCCTACTCCACCTCCACTGAAAATTGGACAAGACCTAAGAAGCTAGGGCTAAGGGGTGCCCACAATGTCCCACACAAGCCACTGAGAGGGGAGATAGATACCCAGCTAGGCCCATCCCAGAGGCAGGGCCCCCATCCTTCCCAAAAGATCTGAGTAAAGGCCTGAGATACCAGGCCAGGAGGTGGGTGTGAGGCAGAAGTGAGTGACAAAACCTCCTGCCATCCCCAGCCCAAGCCACTCTGGTATTGTCAGGGTGGGTCACCCAGAAGTCGGGGAGGGAGGACAGGGAATGGGCTGCGGCTCCTCTGAGCTGTGAGGGGAAGAGGAGTTGACAGGCCAACCAGGCCTGCTGGCAGGAGCCACTACACACAGGTACACACACACCCAGCACCTCTGATTCAGAGAGGGTTTTCCAGTGGCAGCGGGGATGACACACAGGCTGGTGGTGTCCCCCGCCGGGAAGCGCTTCTGCAGTAGGGCAGACTTTTTACCTGTCCAGGCTGCCTCCACCTGCACCATTGGAAAAATTCCTCAACCCCTCCTCATGCTGATTCTGGGTTCTTCCTCATGGGCTCCCCATCCTAAATGTGGTTTTCTAAGTAGAGGGTAAGTAGAGGCAAGCGACACGTACAGATATTTCCTGGGTTTGAGATATGCAGTGTCAGTGATAGGGCAGGATGACCCAGGAGTCTAGTTCTCAGGCATGGAACCTGCCACTCTCAGCCTAAACAGCCCAGTCTGGAGACAAATTTGCCCCATTTCTCTGTCCCCATGGCCTGAGACCAGAAAGAGGAAGGAAAGCAGCACGGTCAGCAGATGGGCATGTGGGGATGGGAGGATGCCAACTTGAGGCAGTGGGTTAGAAACGGCTGGGAATAGATTCTGAGGTGGAGATGCTGGATGGGGCAGGCAGGGGCAGGGGTGAGGGGTGAGGGGCAGGGGCAGGGGTGAGGGGCAGCTACCTCTGCTGAAGATGGGACTTTCATAGGGGATCTTGTTGCGAGTCTCCAGGCTTGAGCAGTTCCAGCGCTGGTCCCTGAATTGGTGTTGGCATTCGTGGATAGCGATCTGGATGCCCTGTATGGCTGAGGCAGCCACATCAGGGTGACGCACACACACCTCCATCTGCCGCCGGCTCAGGCCTGGCAATGTTAGGCACACTGTGTTGGCATTGAGCACAGGCTCCGGGGGGAGGCGGAGGTCCAGAATGTCATTGGGTGCTGACCTGCAGACATGTGGGGTGGAGTGGGTATGTGTTTTGGGGGGACCAGGAGAGCCCCATCTAACAACACACACTCTGTCCCAAAGGCCATAATCACTCCCTCTTCCAACCTCTGCTTCTGAAGGTTGGGCCCATCAGTACACTCCTCCACATTCCTGTTTCCTTGACCTCCTCACAATCATCCTGCTCAATGCGACTCACTCAGCTAGCTGCACACCCACACAGGTAAACGTGCAAATGCACACACATCCACCATGCTGTGGCCACAGTATTTCCTATGCACATTCCCAGGCATAGATGCCCATACACACAGGGTTCCCCAGGAGCCCACTCCCACAGATATGTTTCAGTCACATTCACACAGACACACCTCTGCACACATTGTGGTAGACACACAAACCCAACCCCAGCACACTTACACACATGCACACTTCATCATAGTTACAAACACACACACAAAGACACTCCCATTTACACATGTGTTCATCTTAACATACATTGACCCATGAGCTTTCACATGCACACATGGGCACATACAGAAACTGCTGTTTACCAACGCAGTTTGCTGGGATCCTGGGCTCGATTGAAAACGCACACACACACACACACACACACACACACACAGCTCTTGCAGCTGCAGTCTCTCACTGATCCCACCTGGGCTACCCTCTTCCAGCCTTCCAACCCCTGCCGCTACCTGGGGCTGAGCTGCAGGAAGGAGTGAGGCAGCTTGGGCTTACTCCTGGGGTGGGAGTGCATTCCCCCAGCAGGGCAGGAACTCCAGACTGGCACTTGCTCCCCCACACACACACCTCCCCTCCTAGTTGCCATCATACTCCTGGGCACTGCCTTGTCTCCCTGGACTGCCCATATCCTGTCACCAGTCCAACCCCCTCCTATGAGGGAGCTCACTGCCTTTGGTTGGGCACTAGCACTTTCCTATGACCCTGTCCCTCCCTTCTTCCAGGGTCCTCTACCCCAGCAAGAGCATCAGAGGCCCCTGCGGGGGCCCGGGGTCTCAACTCTCTAGGAGGGCGGAGCATGAGGTGAGGGCTCACCTGGGCATGGCAGCAGCCAGCAGCAGTAGGAAGAACAGGAGCACCCAGAGCGCTGGCCGCGGCTGGGGCTGGGGTCGGAGCCGAAGCCAGGGGCGAGGGTGGGCGCTGCCCATGGCGCGCAGGCCCTGACGGGCTGGGAATGGGGGGCTCACAGCCCGGTGGGACTGGAGAGCCAGGGGCGCCGGCGCATGATCGGCGGGGGGTCGGGGCGGCTGCGACACACAACTCCGACTCGGGTCAGGGCTCCCGGAGCAGACGGCGCCCGCCTCCCCGCTCCATGGGGCAGCACCCCCGGGCACCGCCCTCGGGGGGGGCGGGGGGTGAAGAGCGGGCGAACCGGGCACCTCCTGGCACAGGGGTCCGGGGAATTTCCCGAGGCCCCCCCGCGACAACTCCCGGTGCCTCTCAAGGGTAAGGGGGGCCTGGAGGTGCAGCGGGCTGGGGACGGGAGGCTGGGGTGCCGGGGAGCCCTCCAGCGCAGCGCCGGGAGCCTGCGCTTCCGAGGGCCTGCGAGGCGGGCTGGCAGGGGCGGCGCGGTCTGTGTCGGGCCCCACTGCCTGGAGAGTAAGTGACTGTCCCGGCTCGGGGAGCTCTGCCGCCTTCCCTTTCCTCCCCCCACCCCACCATTTAGTGTCTCAGGGCTCTACCCCACGTGACGTCACGCGGCGGGGCGTGGAGGCGTGTACGAGTCCCGAGGCCACTGCGTCCGCTGGGGACTGGGGGTGGGAGCGTCCCTGCTGAGGGCAGGAAAGGGAAAGGTGTTGGGGTCTGTGCGCGCGTGCACAGGAAGAAGCCTGTGCGTGGAGCGCGCTGGGTTGTGTGGGGGATATGTGTTACCGCGAGGTGTGTGTGCCTGGCTGAGACGCAGCTGCTGGGGAGCGCCCCCACCCCACCCCAACACACACACCTGCAGGGGCTGGTGGGGAGGGACCGGCCTCTCTGTTTCGCCTCCCCGACCAGAGGAGGGACTTCCCCCAGGCCTGCCTGGTGTTAGGCAGGTGTGGGCTCCTGCAGAGGAGTTTGGCAGCCTCTGGCTTCTACTCTCCTTTGCTGTGTGACCTTAAACAGGTGCCTCCCGCTCCTGCTCAGGGAGACCCCCTCTGCCCCTTTGTGAAATGCGGCTCATAGGAACCACCTCGTCTCCTCAGTGAGCCCGGGGAGGCAGCAGTGTCAGGCCCCCAGTAAATGCTTGCGTAGGAGCGCCCTGGGTGGCACGCCCTGGGAGGAGGCGTTGGAGAGCCTTTTAACCCTAGAAGTGGCCCTTGAGATAGTTTACTTAGCTCCCCTTTATTTCACAAGAAAATATCGAGGCTCAAAGAGATCACACAGCAAATTAGCGGAAGAACTAGCACCGAACGCAGCTCTCCTGACTCCCAGCGCAGCAGCTGCCACCCCAACACTGAGTGTTGCCTGCCTGCGCCCGCAGATACTCTGTCTTGTCCTGGCCCTCCCTGGCCCCACCTGCACATGGTCCTCTAGGAGCTCCCTAATACCAGCCACCTGGCTCAGGTCTACTTCTCACTGAGATCTCTTCCTGTCCCTCCACCCCAACTGAACACTGGGCCCCTCCTCGATATAGGGCAAGTGTGCTGGGCCCAAGCAAGGGCCTGAGAGCCAGAAGGTAGGGGAAAGGCAGCTCTGCCTTCTGTTTCTGCTGCTAGCCTGGGCCCTAATAGTGGATCCTGCTCCTGCCCTGTGCCCTCGGCATCCTCCTCTGTAAAATGGGCACAAGCCTCCCACACTTTACACACACACCCCTCTCTCTGAAGAGAGCCCCTGCTGGCTTAGGGACAAAACTATGGGAGCCTCTGGGCTCAGAGACAAAAAAGTGCCCATTCCTGGAATTGCCCATCCCTGGGGAATTGAAGGGGGGGGGGGGCCTCCTTGTCCCCAGACTGTCAGGTGGTGGGGGCAGCCTGAGCAACAGCAGGCTGACGGCATACTCCCCCCTCCTTTCCCCCTCATCTCTGCCGGCAGCCACCGCAGCTGTCAGGAATTAAGGGCTTGAGGCTGCTGGGGGTGGGGGTGGGGCAGTGCGGGGTGGGGAGCAGTCTGGCTGGACTGCAGGAAAACAGCCAGGGGCAGCAAGCAGACTGTGTCAGCCAGAGCCTTATTTGACCCCAACTGCCCCCTGCCCTCCCCACTCTCCCCACCATGCTGCAGAAACGGGGACAGCTTGGGACTAGCATTTGGGAAGGGTAAGCGGTAAGGGTAGGGGTGGGACCAGACTCAACACAGGAGGCAGGCACCAGCCCAGGATGGGAGAAGACACCAGTAAGCTGGAGAGTCATGTTCTCACTGGCTGTTGGGGATACTGAGGCCCAGAAAGAATTAGGAACATGACACAAGGAAGGGATTCTTAATCAGCTTGCAGATGTCCTTATTCTCCATCCTCCACTCACACTAGCATTTCCCACGCTTGATGCAGCACAAGTATCCCCTGGGGTGGGTCATTGTGGGAATGCAGATTCCAGGCCCCATGCAGTTGAATCAGCCTTTCCAGGGAAAGGCCTGGGGGTCTGTCTTTCTAGCTAGCATCCCCAGTGATTCTGGTGGGGACTCCTTTTGGGAAATGCTGCTGACCTGGTTGAGGAGCTGATTTAGTTTCCTTTGGCATCTCTCTGATGAGGGGGTCTCTTTGCTCCCCCACCTCCACTGTCTGTGAAATACAGAGATGCAAAGGAGACAGAGAAGACCTTTTCTTAAAAAAAAACAACTCAGGAGGCAAATAGTGATTCCTGAGGCTTGCACTCAGGCGTGGCTCTGCCCTGGTGTCAGGAGGGTCTAGGAGTACCCAAGTCAGAGCACTTCTCAGTGAAGGGAGGGAAGGGTCTGTGTCAGTCCAGAGCCTTGGCAAGTATGTAGGTGAGGCCCAGAGAATGTCTGCAGCTGGGGTTCCAGCCCCATATGACCCACACCATGGCCAAGCCCCTATCGGCACCCCCTAGTCCCCACCCTGGCCCTGCCCTGGGCCCTGGCCCTCAGCCCAGCCCCAGCCCCCGCAGCCGCCGCCTAAGACCACAATTACAGGGGCCACTGGGGGGCGGGGGAGCACTGGGGATGAAAGGCAGCTTGGAGAATGGTTCCAGCTGTGGCAGCTCTGGAGAAGGTCACAGGGAGGAAGGGCCGGGGAAGCATGGGGGTGAGAACAGGTGGGACCCTCACAACCCGAGCCTAGCCCAGTCCAGCCCCAGCCCAGTCCTGGTGCCCAGCTGGAGAAGTTTGTCTTGGGGTAGAAGAAAGCCAAGGAGCCACAGACCAATAGGGGGGCTCTTCATCCCGTTGTCCAGGCCTTAGGGGCCACCAACCCTCAGCAAGGTAAGGGGGAATGGCTTGTTGCTCCAGTCTCCCCAAACTCCTAATGTATTTGGTCATTGAAAGAGAAGGGAAATGTTCCCCGAGCCCGTGGTCTCAGGCTGATCCTAGGCCTTCCACTCGGCCTCCTCACCCATCTGCCTGTGTTCTGCCTGTTCCTGATGTGGTCACACGCACATCTGGGGTGCCTCTGTGCACTTCCCCCATCTCCCCAGTTCCACATGTCTCCTGCCACTCAGCCAGCAGGGGACTTTGATGGCTCAGACTGCCTGGGGCTGAGCAGCTGGATGAGCAGGGGTGGGTGGTGGTGGGAGCTCTACTTCCGGCCCCTTCCCAGGCAGCAAGGAGAGAGCACGGATCTATCTCAGGGCTCAAAGAAGATGAGGCTAGAAGTCCCAATGGTACCTCCCGGGTCATCATTCCCAATCTTCATAGAAGGCAGTGCCCAGACGCCTTCAGGGCTTGGTCACAGAAGATGGACTAGTAACATATGACCAGCAGTTTAAAGATGGAAGTGCATTCTCCCAATGTGCTAAAAAGCAATCAGGGACCCCTATTAGGTGATAGGAAGTGCTCAGAAAGGTTAACTGATTGACCAAGGTCAAGCTAGCAAACGAGGCGTTTTTCATTGTATCATACTACTTCCTCTGAATTCCTTTTAACCTGCCTAGGGTGGTGCCAGTTCATGCCACTTTCCCAGCTTCCCTCTCTGGCATTGTGGAGGAAGATGTCCAGCATCATCTACCCTATCTCACCCCCTGCAGGACCCAGCAGTGGTAGAGACCGGAAGGCTGGCATCCCAGCCCTAGGTCTGGGCCTGCCCAGACGTCTCAGACAGTCTGGAACCCTAGAAGCTTGACCCAAGCTGTTTGTAGGTCTCCTTGCTTCCTTTCAGTCCTATCCTCTCCTGCCCACCACTCCCTTGAGTTTCCCAGATGTCCTGCAGGTCCTCTCTGTGTTAATAGAGAAGCTGGGCTCCGCATGCCCCCTGGTGGTCTCTCAGAGAAGTGCAGGAGTTTGGGTTTTGGGGGTTTTTTTTTTGTTTGAAGATAAGAGCAGAGCTTTGGGGAAGCAGATCTGTGAATATAAACCTTGCCCTCAGGGAGCTTCATTTATCCTCTATGTGGACCATTATGTATTTCCACTGTCTCCTTTGGTAAGTTAACAGAGTTTCCTTTGGTCAAGGAGTTCTAAGTCCAAATTCTCCATGACTTCTCTGAAGCCCAGACATTTGACCCAAGGGAGCCAAGAAGAGGCAGAAAGGAAAACCCTGGTGCCTCAACCTTCCCACTGCAGCCTGACACCCCTCCCCACCATGAGACTTGAGGGTTGAAGCAGGCTAGGTCACCGAGTGAATGCAGGGGCACTGCGGGGGAAGGACAGGGGTCCTGGAAGCCACGGTCTGTTACATCCAGAATAAGCTCCCTTTCCTTCTGTTTTATTTGAAGAACTGTGCTTTGCTCCCGGTGCCCACCCCGCCCCCCTGTGGTTCTAGAGAGGCTGTCAATTGCAGGCATCTCCCTAGACATCATCTCCCTGGACACCATTATTGGTTCAGGAATAGGCAAATGACCAAGCTGAACAGAAGTCCTTGGGACTTCTGTTGGAGACAACTCGGAAGGTCATTCTTCCTTTTTTTGGATCTAAGACTGCATATAGAGCTGTCATGGAGAAAGTCTGCAGGAGGAGACAATGAGGACAGTATGCCAAGAGAGGCAGAGATAAGCAGAAACAATAGATGCAGAGGTGAGGGAGAGGGAAGGAGATGAGAAAGAAGCCTGTGACACCATGTGAGCCCCTGGGTTCAGTTGTACCTGAATTCAAACTAACCTCTGGACTTCCCCGGTATAAGAGCCATTCATTAATTCTGTTTGGCCTCAGCTAAAAGTCAGGTACCTTCATTTGCAATCAGGGCCTGCCCAATATCTGCAAAGCATCATATGTCTATCCCCATTCTCACAGTAACTATCATTTATTAAACATATGTTTGACAAATTATGTATCATGAGCTATGCTACAGTCTTTCATATCTCAAAAAAAAAATTATCCCAACAATCCTGCGAGGGTGTGGGACAGATTATGATGGCTGCAAATTCTTTGCCACTCCTCCCATTGAGAGGTGGAATTAATTTTCCCTCCTTTTGAATTTTGCCTGGCTCTGTGACCTGTTTTGACCAATACAGAGTTACAGTGATGCTATGTAACTTCCAAAGCTGGACTTAAGAGACTTACAGCTTCTGCCTTCAAGTTTGGTACACTCTCTTTTAAAAGCCAGTCTTGGCCGGGTGCGGTGGCTCACGTCTGTAATCCCAGCACTTTGAGAGGCTGAGGCGGGCAGATCACAAGGTCAGGAGATCAAGACCATCTTGGCTAACACGGTGAAACCCCATCTCTACTAAAAATACAAAAAACTTAGCCAGGTGTGGTGGCGGGCGCCTGTAGTCCCAGCTACTTGGGAGGCTGAGGCAGGAGAATGGCATGAATCCAGGAGGCGGAGCTTGCAGTGAGCCAAGATCCTGCCACTGCACTCCAACCTGGGGGATAGAGTGAGACTCCGTCTCAAAAAAAAAAAAAAAGTCAGTCTTATGTAAGAAGTCTGACTATCCTAAGGCTAACATGCAGCAAGGAAGCCCAAGTTAGCCACATGGAGAGAATGAGAGCACAAGAGAAGCTCTGTGTCCTAGACATGTGAGTGGGGGCTTCTTGGACTGTCCAGCACAGCACAGTCAATACTGCAGCAGAATGCAGCCATGTGAACCCAAGCCAATGGTTCTGCTGCATAGAGCGGACTTACCGAGCTGAGTTCTGACAAATCATGACCTCAAAAATCCTGAGAAGTAATTACTTTGGGGTTGTTTGTTATGTAGCAATGGATAACTGAAACAGAGCGAAATCCCTTTGTATAAAGAAAATGAGGCTAACTTGGCCTATGTTGTAAAGTTCTAAGCAGCAGCACCAACTGCAAACCCAGAGTGTCTGACCCCAAAGCTCATTTTTTTTTGTCTTCCATACCTTCATGGGGGAATCATTCCCCATTGCAGTATTTGGACTGGAGGAAAGTTGGAGGCTCTGAGTCCTGGAAGTTGGGCTATGCCCTCCCTCTTTCTCTCTGGAGGAAGATGAGAGCTCAAGTTTCAGCTCTGGAGAATCCAGAACTGCTCTCTGTCTCCTCACTTTCACCATCAGCTTCCCAAGAGGAACCAGAAGGAAGGAAATATTACTGGGTGCCAAGAGAAATGTTGGGACAAACTTGCTTCCTCTCCCTCTAAGTGTGATTAGAAATGCTGTTCTGGGCAGTCTTTTCAATGTGAATGGGGGTGAAGTTAGTTTTGATGGTAACAAAACCTGGTGGAGCTAATAACATGTGTTCATCACATTCTACAGTTTATAAAGTGCTTTAATCCCATGGGCTTAGGTATCCCCAAAAGTTTACCCAGAAATTCCCCAGGAGTCACAGAAACAGACACAATCCCCTAAAAATTAAGACAAGGACGAGTTTGAGAGCTGAGCATACCATCGGAAGCTTCTGATGCCCCTGTCCCTTTAAAGAGGAATTGCTAGTTCTTCTCCGGCTTGCAGATCCAGGCCCTAGATGTGTGACAGGAGTGAACAAGAAGAATACCAAGGGGGGATAGTGAGTTTCCAGGAGAGGCCAACCTGGTCGGGAGATAGGGACCCAGGTGATGGCCCCTAAGGTGCTAGTTCTAGCAAAACTACCTTCTTCTGGAGCCTGGCAGCCTGAAGATGGGTCTCCCCGCAAACTGTGGGTCCAGCCCTAGTGGTTTAAATATCTTTATTGATACTAACCTCACCCACCATCCCGTGGCCAGCAGTTCTGGGGAGCCCAGTATCCAGAGGCCTTTAGACTGACTTGTTGGTTTCCTCCTAGAGGCCAAGGGTAGGGAGGGCCTGTGCAGTGTCCTTTAAACGCTCCCGGAGTGCCTTTTCGGGGCCGTCCGGCGCCCTGGGCCTTCGTAGGTGGGTGTTCCTCTCAAGTCCGTCGCCTCACCATTTCCAGAGGCATGGGAGTTGGGCTTTGGCAGGGAGAGGCTGGGCTCAAGCGGCGCCCGGTGCCGGTGCCCTGAGGTCCCGGAGGTGCGAGCCACCGCTGCGCGAAGTCAGTCTAGGTGCCGGGCGGCGGGTCAGAGGCAGAGGCTGAGCTCCTTGCGCACACGGCAGCGGTGGCACTGCACTACGCAGCACCAGTGGAAACGGCACAGGCAGTTCTCTTCGAGCTGCACGCTCTCCTGGCGGTGCCCGCGGCCGCAGCACAGCAGGTCGCAGCCACTGAGGTCCGGGGCGCTGCTATTGCAGGCGCGGCCGCGAGTGCCGGGGGAGCCGGTGCGTCGGTTGGGGGCGCAGAAGTCGGGCGAATCAGCGGCGTAGAGGAGGTCCGCTCGGCCCGGCGGCTTGAGCGTGCGGACGGCGGGCAGTAGGGCCTTGCCGTCGTTAGTGCCCATGACGCGTGAGGCGCCGTGGAAGCGCTCCAGCAGCCGCGCGCCCACTTCGCGAAACGGGGGCAGCTTCTGCCAGCAGGTTCGCAGCGCGCACGAGCCCGACAGCCCGTGGCATTTGCATTCGGTGCGCGTGTGGCTCCGCACGGCCTGCGGGGAGCAGAGGGGCGGACGCATGTGGACAGATGGGGGTGCAGGGAAGGGCCCAGTGGATGGACAGAAAATAAGATTGGGAATGGGAAGTAAAAGGAAGAGGAAAATGCAGACAAAAGAAGGAGACCGCAAGTTCAGGAGGAGGAAATCAAGGAAAGGACAGCTCGGAAGGGAGGAGCAGGAGGAATGGTGAGGATGGAGTAGTATGATGATGACGAAGCAGGGAGACGGGGGACAATATGCAGCGCAGAGATTCCAGGGTCCAAAGCCAGGGGATGGGGGAGAAAGCAGAATGGACAGCAGGGATGAGATTCTCTCTGGAGGAGGGGGGAGGTGGCAGCTGTGGAGGCCTAGCCAGCCCCCTGCCAACCTGGCCCCCTCATTCCTACCCCTCACAGCCCCAGGCGGGGCTGAACAGAGATGCAGAGCCAGCCGCCTGGGCGTCTGTCTCCGCCATCCCGCCCCAGCCCTCTCGGCAGGTATGTGGGCCTGTCCGGACATTCCTCTTCGGGCCCCCTCCTCTCCCTGCCCGATGCCTCAGGCCCGAACCCTAGAGGACACGGTATGTATGGCGGTGTCCCTGGAGAACCCTAGAACTGAGGCACAGGGTGCAGGAGGGCCGGCTGGGACTGCAGTACTGAGAGTGGAACCCAGGCGGCCTCTCCCCTATTCACTATTTGAAGCAGGGTCTAAGATTTCCAACCCCGCCAAGGATTGATGGCTCAGAAGACCCAAGAAAATCATTTTTGGAAGCTCAGAATCCAGGGGCTAACCTGACCTTTTGTCCACAGCCTGAGTCTACCCTGCCCCCTCCTGGAACCATCACACCCAGACAACCTTCTTGCTCCTGAAGGAGAGCTCCTGGGGCTCTCCTCAATACAGAGGGGAGAGGAGAGGCTGCCATAGCTCTGGGCAGGTGAGACCTGGGCTAGGGTTGCTGGGCAGCCAGTTGGCAAGTGCCCAGAATTGGTCACAGCTGTCCTGGCCTCCACCTGACTCCCTCCAACCTCCACCAGGATTGGTTCCCTGTCCTTCGCTCTTTTCCATTGCCCCTCAGACATGTTCAAACTCTTTCTAGGCCTCTCTCACTCCCCCTGACTTCCCTCTACCCAGTCCCCAGACCTTGCCCTAGCTTCTATCCTGTCTTTCATCCCCACCTTTGTTTTATTCCTCTGCCCCTGCCCAGGCATCCAGACCCCCTACCCACTGCAAGCTTTGCTTCACCTGTCCTGTCTTGAAGCTGTGCCCTCTCTACCTGGGGTCACTAAAGACCCTCAGTCCTATTCCCTGAGTATCCCTTCCCCATTCTGCCCACTGTACCGCCCAGCATCTGGCCTTCTCAGACCCCCAAGTGACTCCTTCTTGAGGTTAGACACCCCTCCTCCCACATGTCCATCCATGCTTGCAGCCCGTCTTTCCGCACATGCCCACTCCCCCACACATTAACGCCCCCTCCACCTACACGCCCTCACTCCTGCCCACACTTTCTCAAGCAGGCTCCTGCGCGCACACTCACATTTCCGCACACACTCACTCCGTCGTGCCCTTACGCACCAGCCGGCCCGCCTCGTTGTTGTGCAGTTGCACCAACGCGCGGATGTCTCCGCGTCCCCGCTTGTGCCGCGCGTCCATAAAGAGCCTCGACTTCTCGTCCCCGAAGTCCACGTCGTCGCCGCAGCCTCCCCACTCCCAGGCGGAGCTGCCTTCCGGGGAGCCCGCGGGGCCAGGGGGTCCGGGGGTGCCGGGCAGGCCGGAGGGCCGGGGAGGGGCCCGCCCGCGGGGCGCCTGGCAGCCGCACTGCAGCAGCTCGCCCATGGAACAGGCCTGCGTGACGGCGTGGCTGGCGCCCGCCGCGGTGATGGCGAACACGAAGGCCGTCTCTCGAATGTCTGCGAATGCAGAGAGGTGCAATCAGCACGGGTTGGGGCGGTCAGCTGGGGCCTGGGACCTGAAACCTGGGACCAGGGGCCTGGGAGGCAGGGTCCTTGCAGAGTGCCCAGATACATGCGACGGGGAAGTGGGGCTCAGGCAACTTCAGCGAACCAGCTCCCCACTCCTCGGGTCCCCCAGCCTGGAGAAGGCAGCCCCACTTCCGCCCCCTCCCCACACTGACCCTGCTGCAGGATGCGTCCAAAGGCCTTGCTGTGGCTGGAGCAGTTCCAGCGGCGGAAGCGGAACTGGAACTGGCACTCTCGCACCCCGAGCCGGGCGCCCCGGGCTAGCTCTGCCACTACTTCCGGCTCAGCCTGGCACAACTCGGCCTGCCTCCCCGCCAGCCGCCGTGCCTTCCTGCAGATGCTGATAGGGTCCATAACCAAGGGGCTGCCCACAGCCCTGGAAAGCAGATAATAGCAAGTCAGGGGTATAACCCTTATAAGGGCTTGGGGTGGAAGGGAGGGAGACCAGCCCTACTTAGCCCCAAGCCGGGAGCTGAGACATGCCCTCCCACCCTACCCCCAAACTGCACTTGAGATTGTCCTGCCTGGCTCTCCTACTATTCCATGTCTGTGTCCCCTCTTAACTAGAGTCTATTCTGATAATTGCTACAGAGCAAAGATTCAATCTTATCTTCCTGCGCACATCTTTGTAAATAAATCCTTATAGAAATTTGACTGAAGGTGAAAGCAGCTGGCACCAGGTAAACCAAAGTTAAAACTCAAACGTGTAGCCCAAAAGGGTGACAAGGAAAAGAAATCACAGAAGAAAGATCAAGAAGGCTGTCAAGGGAAAGTATGTGTCATCAAGAGATACCAAAGAAAAGTAAGCAGTATCAAGGAATGATATGGTCCTAGTGGACCACAAGCTGGATATGTGTCAGCTGAACAGCCCGGATGAAAGGCAAGAACAATCCCAGGAAGAGAGAATGCCACAAGATGTCAGAATGGGTAGGGAATGGAGCCTTGCTGAGAAAAGTCACACCCCCTCCGTAGCCCAAGTTTCTCCTGTAAAATGGGTGTGTTGGGCTTTCATCTCTAAGGTGGGACCTCCTACCCTGATATCTTCTGTGTCCCTGAACTGGAGAGCAGGAGGAAGGAGCTGGGGGCCAGGTCTCTGAAGCATTGTTGGAAAGTAGGTGACACTGACCCTTCTCCTGCTCCAGGATCTGTGGCTTTTTTTTTTTTTTTTTAATTGAGACAGAGTCTCGCTCTGTCACCCAGGCTGGAGTGCGCTGGCGCGATCTCACCTTGCTGCAACCTGCACTGCCCAGGTTCAAGCAATTCTCATGTCTCAGCCTCCCAAATAGCTGGGACTAGAGGCGTGCACCACCACGCTTGGCTGATTTTTTTGTACTTTTAGTAGAGACAAGGTTTCACCATGTTGGCCAGGCCAGTCTCAAACTCCTGACTTCAGGGGATCTGCCTGCTTTGCCCTCCCAAAGTGCTGGGATTACAGGCATGAGCCACCACACACGGCCAAGGATCTGTTGCCTTCTCTGAGCAGAATGGCAGTGAACCAAGCCCTACCTATTGGGGTGACATCACTGCTGGGGGGCAGGCAATGTTTGGCTTGGTAGGGGAAGACTCCATGGGAAGTTTCATGCACTTCCAGAAATCCCTCCACTCCTGACATTCATTCTGCCTGAGGAGAGAGCTGACGTTTCGTTTCTGTACAGCAGACCCCTGAAGGTTAATTCTGTAGGGATTCACACCTGGGGAACCACTTTCATCAGCTTGCTGCTATTTGAACACTTAGCTGGGATCCCCATCTCAAAGGAATGAGTAGAGCATTTGGGAACAGAGGGTAATTAGAGACCACCCAAAAGTTCTTCAGCAGAGGGCAGAAAAAAAAACTAGGTGGGGGTAGGGGTCCCAGGAGATAGAAAATATAGAGAATGCTGGTAGGTGGTGCCAGAGGTCAAGGTGGCCTACTTTTCAGTGTTGCTTTAGTGCATATCCGCCCCACTGTCCCCATTTGCTCCACAAGTACAGGCTGCCCAGGCATGTTCTGGCTCCACAACAATGAAATGTGATGGTCTTAAATAGAAGCAAGAGGAATTTAGGTCTTAAGGTAGAACTCTCAACACTAAGGACAGAGGTGCTTGAAGAGGTGGTGCAGGAAGATGTGTAGTAAGCTCAGTCCTTTATGGTCTACAACACAAACACGTGTGTGTGCGCGTGCATTCTCACGGCGTGCGCACACACTCACACACACACACAAAATCAGGTTGCTGCTGTCATCCTTACCCAAGTAGCTCAGGAACCAGATGTCTCTCAATGGAGAGGCTACAGTCCACATCTTCCTTCCTGTGTACTTAAGACCAGCCCAGCACTGGCCCCCACCCTTTCCCAGCCTAGATAAGTAAAGTAATGGAGGGTGGGTCAGGGCACCCCAGTGACCCAGTGACTTTTGAGAGTTGATTGGTCTCTATGGATCCATCAATCTATCTGTCCCTCTGCTGCCCATATATCCTACCTCATTATAAGAAGGATTGGAGGCAGCTTCCAACATGGCTGTGCAGGGTCAGGAGATAAGACTGAGCTTTTTGAGCATTAGGACTGCCTTATTTTCCTTTGCATCTCCTGGAAGACTTAGGTACTTAGTTTATATCCTCCCCCAACCCCAATTTGTATTACAAATGAAATTGTATAGTATGAATTCTGTGCTATATGTGAATAATACCTGTAGTATATTATACAACAAACATCATTTAATATGTGGTTTTGAATGAATAAACAAGCCATCTAAGAGAAAGTTCTCACTTGAGCCCAGGCCCCTGTCCACGTCTTATTTCATGACTCCTAGTTCATTTCCTCAAACATGCTCTTTTCCCCCACTGAGAGTCAGAGGCAGGGAATGAGTCCTCTCTGCAGTCATCCAGCTCCTTATGTCTGGGGCTCCACCTGTGAGTCGGGGACTCTGCAAGCTCATCTTCCCCACCCCCGCTGCCCCTACTTCTAAGTTCCCCAGCCCCTCCTCCTCAACCCTACCCTCTGCTAACTCCCTACTTTCCCAGGGTTGACTGGCTTTATCTTCCCAAGGTTACTCTACCCCATCCTTCTCCTCTCCCTCCTCCTCCCTTAAGAAGGCAGGAGGGAGTGGAGATGAGCAAGACAGAAAGACAAAAACCTCTTGACCTTCTCTGTTTCGCAGGGACTAGAGACAGGGAGAGTCATGAGGAGTATGGAGGCCAGGGACTTTCAGGAGGTGGGGCTGGGGCTGGGGGGCTGCCCCAGAGCCAGTTCCTGGTCTGGGTCTGGCTCCCCAGGCTGGCTGGCTGCCTGGGAACTAGACTTGTTTACAAGCTGGTCAGGGGGAGGGATGGGCAGTAGTAGCAGCTAGAATCCCAAGGGACCAGTTTGTTCCCTGCCCTCCTGTCCTTGCTCCCATCCTAAATACATAGGAAATGAAACTCCAGAAGGGGCGTGGCAGGGGGCATTGGGCAAAACACCAAGCTTTGCTTCCGATCTCTGGTTTCTGTCAACTCTGTGTGGGCTGAGCCACTCTGAGCAAGTCAGTTCCTTTTGTGGGCTTCAGAAAAACTGAGGAGTTAGCATGAGAGACTCACATACCCCCTATAACTTTGGCTTTTGACGCCACATCAAGTAATATCTCCCCCATCCCCACTCACCTTTCACCTTCCTTCCTTTATGCTTCCTTAGACAGTGAACTCTGCTTTTCAGGCCTTTGGGTCAGCATTGGCCTGGGATCAGCCCAGAGAAGATGTGCTCCTTTGGGAGAATTTGCCTGTTTTGGGGTCTGACGCACAGTGGTGGTCATACACAATATATAGGATCTGGGATCCTCATCAAACAGCCATTCCTGGGCATAGAAAAAAATGAGGCTACCCCTGAAAGAAATAAGTTGCGGAAAAGAAGGGGCAAGCCTATGGATGGTCATTCTAACCAGCTTGGCCTGCACCAAGGTCTCTCTACTAAGGACCATGGTTGGTAGGATCAATTGCCCAGGGATGTGGTATCAGGGGCCAGCCAGTCCCTGTTGGCAACATCTGTAGACCTAAGCCCTGGAGGTCCTACATTTCTGGCCTAACCTACCTTTCCATCTCTTGAGTCAGAGGGACAAGAACAATGTCAGAGATCCCCCAGTTCAGCCCCACCCATCTCACCCTCGTTATGCAGATGAGCAAGACAGGAGACAACTGACTCTGGCCACTGGTGGGGGGATCCCTATTGCAAGACACAGTAGATGAATATTTCAAACACAAACAGTGCTGTAGGGAAATGGGCACGTTAGATATCAGAAGACTTCCGGTGGCCTCCCACAGCATCCTCCACACAGCCCCGTACTCCTAGCAGGGTTGATTAACTCCAAATATATTCCAGATAACATCACTAAACTTCTGGACTCAGACCCACCCTAAGTCATCAAAATCTTAGCATCTCTCCAAACTCACCTCAGATCCCACTTGCCCTAAGGAGCCTCCCTGGGCCCCAACCCCCACCGACCTTCCTCCATGCATCTCCCAAGGTGTCACTCATTTGTGGCGGGGAGGGGAGTGTCTGTTATCCTGTCAGTGGTATAATTAATTTTTCATGTTTGCTTGTCTTATCTTTCCAACTAGGTAGAAAACTCATCAAAAGACAATAAGCTCATGCATGGGCATTCATGGAGTACACTCAGGGTTTTTTGGGATCCACCAGACTTGAGTTTGGATCTGGGCTCTGCCATTTGCTTGTTCTATGATGTTGAGTGAGTCCCTAGCATGTGAAGTTGGCACTTAGTCTTCATTAGATGGATGATGAGACTTAACCTCCTGAGCCTCAGTTTCTTCAACTGTCAAATGAAAATAGTAATATCCACCTCCCTCCCAGATTACAGATGCAGAGAACCTGTCCAGAGAGTGGACTTCCTCCAACTACTGGTGTTTGTCTTCCCACTCACACCCTTATTCATCTTTTGAGCCTGCCCAGTTTAGGGCAAACCGTAGGGTGCAGGCAGCATTGTGGATTTCCAAGAACAACCTTTTCTCCAACTCTCTGCTATTTCTTCTCAGCTTGGATCCCTGCGTCTCCTCCTCCTCCATCCAGCCCTGCTCCTGGACCAAATGTACCCTCTAGGACCCTCCTCTTCCCCAGCAGGCCCTCCTGGGTGGATCACTGAGGCCAAAGGGATCACAGCCCACTGGTTGCCCAATGCCCTCTGAAGGATCTCCAAGTCAGCCTCCCTCTATTTCCCCGCCCCTGCTCCTAAGGTCCCCACACTGACCCCACCTCCCACAAGCCAGCAGAGGGAGCCCTGAGCCCTGGGGCTGTGGGTGGGGGTGGGGGAGGTGGGTGGTGGAGAAGGGGCAGAAAAATGTTGCCTGACGGCTGCTGAGGCGGCTGGGCCCGGGCCTGTGCCCGCCCGCCTGTCCTGTCCTGCTCTGTCTAACTCGG